GAGACATATCGAATGGTTGCCTCCCGCATGACCCCCACCAGGGCTGGGGACCAAACTGCAACCCAGGAATGTGCCCTTGACTGGAATCGAACCTGAGACTCTGGTCCATGGGCCAATGCTCTAACCATTGGGAAAACCAGTTAGGGCTGATTTTGGTTTTTTGCTGGTTTTTTTTTTTTTTTTATCCTCACCTGAGGACATTTTTTCTATTTTTTGTTCAGGTAGAGTGGGAGGGAGAGAGAGGAACAGAGAGAGAAAAACATCGATATGAAAGGAACACATCGAGTGGCTGCCACCCACACAACCGACCAGGGCCGGGGACAAACTGTAACCGAGGTACATGCCCTTAGCAGGAACCGAACCCGGGTCTCTCCGGACCACAGGCCGACGCTCTAACCGCTGAGCCAAACTGGCCAGGGCTTTTTGTTGTTTTTTAATGGCTAAGTGATATTCCATTGTGCCACATATTCTTTAACCATTCGTCCATCGATGGACACCCAGGTTGCTTCCATATCTTGGCTTTTGTAAACAATGCTGCAATGAACATGAATGGCGTAGATAAATCTTTTTGAATTACCGTTTTTGTTTTCTTCAGATAAATACCCAGAAATAGACTTACTGGGTTGTATGGTAGTTCTAGTTTTAATTTTTTTTTTTATCCTCACTCGAGGACATTTTTGCATTTATCCTCAGATAGAGCGGGAGGGAGAGAGGGAAGTAGAGAGAGAGAGAAACATCGATATGAGAGAGACACATCGAGTGGCTGCCACCACATGACCCTAACCAAGGCCGGGGACAAACTGCAACCAAGGTACATACCCTTAGCAGGTACCGAACCCAGGACTCTCTGGTCCGTGGGCCGGTGCTCTAACCACTGAGCAAAACCGGCCAGGGCTCTAGTTTTAATTTTTTGAGGAATCTTTATACTGTTTTCCATTGTGGCTGCACCAATTTACAATTCCACCAACAGTGCACTAAGGCTCCCTTTCCTCCGCATCATCACCAACATGTGTTTATTGATTTATTGATGGCAGCCATTCTGACAGATGTGAGGTAATATCTCATTGTGGTTTTAATTTGCATTTCTCTGATAATTAGTGACATTGGGCATCTTTTCATATGTCTATTGGCCATCTGTATGTCCTCTTTGGAGAAGTGTCTATTCATGTCCTCTGCCCAGTTTTTTTTTTTTTAAATATGTTTTTATTGATTTTTTAGAGAAAGAGGAAGGGAGAGAGAGAGAAACATTGATGTGAGAGAGATACATCAACTGGCTGCCTCCTGATCACCCCCTACTGAGGACTGAGCTTGCAACCTGGGCATGTGCCCAGACTGGGAATCGAACCAGGATCTCTCAGTCCATGGGCCAATGCTCAATTCACTGAGCTACATCGACCAGGCTCTGCCCAGTTTTTGTTTTGTTTTTTTAAATCCTCACCTGAAGATATTTTTCTATTTATCTTCCGATAGAGCAAGAGGGAGGGAGGAAGAGAGAGAGAGAGAAACATCGACTGGTTGTCACCTACATAACCCCAACCAGGACTGGGGACGAACTGCAACTGAGGTATGTGCCCTTGGCTGGAATCAAACCCTCAGCTCTTTGTTCTGCAGGCCAATGCTCTAACCTCTGAGCCAAACTGGCCAGGGTTTTGCCCAATGGTTTGTTTTTTATCCTCACCCAAGGACATTTTTTTTTTGGTTGTTGTTGCATTTATCCCCAGATAGAGCAGGAGGGAGAGAGGGGTGAAGAGAGAGAGAGAGAAACATCAATGTGAGAGAGACACATCAACTGGCCGCCACCCACACGACCCCAACCGGGGCTGGGGACAAACTACAACCAATATACATGCCCTCCGCAGGAACTGAACCCGGGACTCTCTGGTCCTCGGGCTGATACTCTAACCACTGAGCCAAATTGGCCAGGGCTCTGCCCAGGTTTTAATTGGATTGTTTTTGTTTTCTTTTTGGTGTTAAGTTGTGAGCACTCCTAATATATTTTGGATATTAATCCACTATTGAATATATCAATTGCAAATACCTTCTCCCTTTCATTTTTTATGGTTTTCTTTACTGTAAAAAAGCTTTTCATTTTGATGTTGTCCCATTTGTTTATTTTTGCTTTTGCTTCCTTTGGGGAGAAAAAACTTTTGTGTGTGTGTGTGTGTGTGTGTGTGTGTGTATAACTAAAAACAAGATCAAAGAGTTTACTGTGTATTTTTTATTTTTTGAGGTTTATGGTTTGAGGTTTACATTTAAGTCAATCCATTTTGAGTTTATTTTTGATATGGTATAAGAAAGTGGTTGTTTCATTTTTTTAAAATGGGTCTATCTAGTTTCCCCAGCACCATTTATTAAAGAAACTGTCTTCTCCATTGTATATTCTTGCCTCCTTTGTCATATATTAATTGACCATATAAGCATGGATTTATTTCTAGGCTCTCTGTTCTGTTACATTGTTCTATGTCTGTTTTTGTGCCAGTACCATACTGTTTTGATTACTATAGCCTTACAGTATAGTTTGAAACCAGGTAACATAATACAACTTTTTCTTCTTTCTCAAGATTGCTTTGACTATTTGGGGGTTTTGGTGATTCATATAAATTTTAGAACTATTTGTTATAGTTCTGTGAAAAATTTCATTGTTTTTTAAGTTCTTTTCAAAAATATATGTTTTTATTATTTTTCTTTCTTTTGTTCTTTTAAGAGAGGAGAGGAAGGGAGAGGGAGAGAGAGGAAAAAAAACACTGATGAAAGAGAAACATCCTGCATGCCCCCTACTTGGGGTGGAGCCTGAAACCCCAAACATTTTCCCTGACTGGGAATGAACTTGCCACCTCATGGTACATGGCACGTTGCCCAACCAAATGAGCCACACCGGCAAGGGCTCATTGGTGTTTTTATAGAGATTGCATTGAGTTTTTAGATTGCTTTGGGTATTATGGACATTTTAATGATATTAATTTTTTATATCCATGAGCATGGTATATCCTCTCATTTATTTGTGTCCTTTTTTATTTCTTTCATCAATGTCTTAGAGTATAGGTCTCATACTTATTTGTTTCTCAGTATTTTATTCTTTTTGGTACAATTGTAAATGAGATTGTTATCTTTCTGATAGTTTGTTATTAGTGTGTATAAATGCAACAGATTTTTGTATATTTATTTTGAATCCTTACACTTTGCTGAATCTACTTATTCTAATATTTTTTGGTGCATTCTTTAGGGTTTCCTGTATATAATATGTCATTTGCAAATAGAGACCGGTTTACTTTTGTCTTTTCAATTTGGATGCCTTTTATTTCTTTTTCTTGCCTAATTGCTCTGGGTAGGTCTTCCAGTACTATGTTCAATGAAAGTGGCAAGAGTGGGCATCCTTGTGTTGTTTCTGATTTTAGAGAAAAAGCTTCAGCTTTTCACCATTGAGTATGATCTTATCTGTAGGTTTGTCTCATATGGCCTTTATTATGTTGAGCTATGTCCCCTCTATAGGTGGTGCAATTTCTTGATGTGGGGAAACCTGGAAGAGACAAAGGTTTGAGAAGTAACAATAAGAGGTCAGTTTTTGTACATATTAATTTGAGATATCAGAGAACATGTTCAATAAGCAATTGGATTCCTGAGCCTGAAGCTTAAAGCAGAAGTTGAGGGCAGCAAGAGACATGTTGGGGGTCTTCATCAGTTATGGATGGCTTTTTTTTTTTTCTTTACTGATTTTAGGGAGAGGGAGAGAGAGATAGAAACATGGATGAGAGAACATCGATTGGCCGCCTCCTACACGCCCCCCACTGGGGATTGGGCCCACAACCTGGGCATGTACCCTGAGGGGGAATTGAATACGTGACCTCTTGGTGCATGGGTCGACGCTCAACCACTGAACCACACCATCCAGGCTATGGATGACATTTAAAGTCATGAGAAATAGCTAATAGATCAAGATAAAGAAGAGTGTCAAATAATGGGCCCCAAAATACTTCAACATCTAGACTTCAGGAGGAGATACCGGGAAGAGAGTGAAAAGGGAGCAGCCACTGAGATGGAAAGGAAACCTGGAGAGAGCAAAGGAAAGAGGGCGAGGACGTTTGTATTACATGCTGCCGGGAGAGTGAATAGGATAAGGACAGAACTGACCCTAATCTGTTGACCCTTGGCAAGAGTGAATTCAGGCCATGGCAGGGACAAAGGCAAAAACGTAGTGGTTTAAGGAGAGAAGGGGAGCTGACAGGGCTGACAGGCACGTGCTCCCACACCTACTAAGTGGTAGTGTTAGAAGTGAACCCAAAAAAAAAAAAAAAAAAGCCCTGGCCGGTTTGGCTCAGCGGTTAGAGCGTTGGCCTGCGGCCCGGAGAAGTGAACCCAAATCTTGATTGTGATGGTGGTTTCAATGGGTGTATGTATATATGTCAGAACTTATCAAAGTGTACACGTTGCAGTTTCACTGTCAATTTCCTGTAAGTGCATTTTATTATATATTATACCTCAGTAAAGCTTTTATCATAAAAGTTGGGGGGGGGGATCTAAGCTCCACCGCACCATTAGGCTAGAGTACCTCCTCCTTTACCACTCTAAACTTCGGGGTTTGGGGACACACCTCAACACCAGACCGCCAGGTCCTTAGAAGACGGCCTGTGCCTTTCTGCTTGAAACCAGGCGTAAGGGGATGGTAGAAGGGAGTAACCACTTAAAAAAAGAAAAGCATGCGAAAAAAAAAAAAGAAAAGCATGCGTCCAGTCCTTCCTACTAGACGGAAATTAACAACTGGCAATTGGCGTCGGGCGGTCACTGAGTGGGGCTTCCCCGAAGGTCATAAACGCTCCGCCTGCGCCTGGAGCGGGCACACGCCCGCCCCGCCCTTCTATGACAGGCCCCGCCCCCACCAGCCGCAGGCCCGCCCCCGAGATGACAGTGAGGCGTGCACGTGCGCCGCCTGGGGGCGGGGCCGACCGCGCCGGCGTGGAGGTGCTGTCTTGTCCGAGCCCCCACGCTACCGGAAGCGGAAATAGCTCCCGGCGCCGCCAGAGTAGCTGTAACTGCCTCCGCAATGCCGAAAGGTCCCAAGCAGCAGCCGCCGGAGCCGGAGTGGATCGGGGACGGAGAGAGCACGAGCCCCGCAGGTGAGGCTCGTGGGCAGGGAGGGAACGGCAGAGGGAAGGGGAGAGAAGAGCGCTCCTGTTTCAGGAGAGGTGACGGCACGCGAAACTGACCGGGCCGTGCGCGGCTACTGCGCAGGCGTGCAATGGGCGGAGAAGCGTTTGCCCGGGCAGCAGTGGGTTTGGGCTGGTAGCGAAAGAGAAGGTGACGTGGGTCGCGCACGAGCTTAAGTAGAACTTGGCAAGAAACGAAGAGCTCGTGGAACCGAGGGAGAGAGGAGGAGAAGTGAGAAAGCCCTCTTCTCTCGGACGTCCTCCGCACCACACTCGATCCTGCATTCCATGGGAGTAGGAGCTGGGTCCGCCTCCCGCCGGGCCGCCGCGCACCTGCAGACCGCCCGCGGGAGCCTGTGGCCACCTGCTTCCCGGAGGGGTGGCTCCTCCATGGGCTCTTGCATAAGGCAGTTTGTCCCCGGCCCTGGTTGGGTCGTGCGGGTGGCAACCACTCGATGTGTCCCTTTCACGTCGATGTTTCTCTCTCTCTCTCTCCCTCCCACTCTATCTGAACAAAAAATGGAAAAATGTCCTCGGGTGAGGATTAAAAATAAATAAATAAAAATAAGGCACTTCTGACTCAACTGGAGCACGAGTGAAGATGCTGGCTGTTCGAATGGGGGTTACGGTTTACTTGGAAATAGCAAATATTTGTTGAACACCTGGGTTTTTTGTTTGTATCCTCACCCGAGGACATTTTTTTTTTTGCATTTTATCTTCAGAGCAAAAGGGAGAGAGGGAGGAAGAGAGAGAAACATCGACGTGAGAGAGACACATTGAGTAGCTGCCACCCACACGACCCCAACCAGGCCAAGGACAAACTGCAGCCGAGATCCGTGACCTTAGCGGGAACCAAACCCGGGTCTCTGGTGCGTGGGCCGAGGCTCTAGCCGCTGAACCAAACCAGCCAGGGCTGAACACCTGTTTTTATTTAAATGCTGTATATCTGTACTTCGAAGTGGGGAGGGAAAAAAAATGAAGCCATCCTCCCAAGCTTGAAGACATTTCAAGGGGGAAATAAAATGGACACAAATAATTGCAGTAGGTACACAGTGACTAATTTTACAACCATTTATTGGATGCCTACTGTATACTTGGTACTCTGCAGAGGAACTGGGAATGTAGTGATAAAAGATAAACCTTGCTTTGAAGGGGCACCCATTCCAGTGGAGGGGACAGCATTAATCTGACAGTGATTGACCGAGTGTGTTATGAGTGTTAATAGGAATGCAGTGGGATTGAGAAGAGGCATCTACTCAGACAGGTAGGGTAGGAGTGTCAGCAAAGCCTCCCAGGAATATGTGATAGCTAAGTTCTGTTCTTGGAGGATCAGTGTGAGTTAGCAAGGGGAAGAGCATTCCAAGCAGAGGTAGAAGTGTGTGCAAAGCTGGTTCCCACTGTTGGGTGACTAGTGCAGTGGAGATGGAAAGATGTGCGGGAGACAGATAATGAAAGGCTTTTATACACTATTCCGAAGAGCTCAATCCTAAAGACATTAAGAAGGAGGGCTTATTGAAGTACATAAGGCAAGATAACAATCAGTTCACCCTGACAACACTGAGCAGTGGGAAATGGCTTAAACTGGTGGAGAGTGGAGGCAGGGAGACTGTTTCTCAGGTTCTCACAATGATCCAGAGGAGAAGTGGTAAGAGAAGAAGACAAGGCAGTGGAGACTAAAAGTTATTAAAGAACTGGCTAATGGAAGGGAGAAGAATTAGGGGTGACACTCAACTCAGTGGGTAGTAGAATATTAATGAAAAGCAGTATGGACTGTAGGGTGGGAAGAGATAAGTTTTGAAAGCTGAGTTGGAGCTTTCTGCGGAATTTCTAAGAGAATATAATATGGCAGGGTGAGAGCTAGTTTGTTTAATGGCTGTGGGGAGAGATCTAGACTAAAAAGGAAGACAGAAGCCAGTGTACTTGAAGTGTTGGGTGTAGATGCAGACTGAAGCAAAAAAGGGCAGAAGATGGCGACCTAAAAGAATCTCAACAATTAAGGAAAGTGAGGTAGAGAAAGGAGGCCAAGGAGATGAGACTGAGAGGCAAGCAGCCAGATACAGTGGAGGCAAACCAGGAGCAAGGATTCCTGAAGTTAAGTAATGACTAGAGAGAAATAAAAGGTAAGTAGCATGGAATGTTGCAGAGAAGTAAAGCAAATAAGGACTAAAAATTTAATTTTTGGTTTGAGCAACTTGAGGGGACAGTAGCAACTTTATCAAAAGTAGTGTTCAGCCTTGGCCGGTTTGGCTCAGCTGTTAGAGCATCGGCCCGCGGACCAGAGAGTCCCGAGTTTGGTTCCCACTAGGGGCACATACCTTGGTTGCAATTTGTCCCGGCCCTGGTTGGAGTTGTGTGGGTGGCAACCACTTGATGTGTCTCTCTCACATCGATGTTTCACTCTCTCTCTCTCCCTCCTGCTCTATCTGAAGATAAATGCAAAAACGTCCTTGGGTGAGGATTTAAAAATATATATTTTTTAAGTAGTGTTCATTAGGAGGTGATACCCAAAGCAGGTTGCAGTATGTTCGAAAAGGGATGGGAGATGAGGAAATGGAGCTAGTGTGAACTATGCTTTTCAGACTCAGTGAAGACAGGATAGAAAACTGATTGAGGGAGGAGACTATAAGATTAAGGAAGGTGTTTTATTTTACTTTGAAATCAGGAGCAGCCTGAGTGATGTGCAAAGGGGAGGAACCTTTAGAGGCAGAGAGATGGAAGCCACAACATAGCTCTTGCCAGGCTTAGCCTTGTTCTGTTCTTTGTTATTGGTTTGCACTTTCTCACAACTGAACTTCTGCAAGGTTTTTCCTCTCCCTATGGTCAGGAGAGTCAGAGTGATGTTTACAAAAGAGATTTAAAGGAAGAAGAGAAGGATGATTGTGTTTAGTCCTTGGGGATAAAATAGTTTCTGGGATTTGTCACTCCTAGATGTTGTCAAGGTGAGCTGATCATATCTTTCCTTCTTAGATACTTAAGTGGATCCTTCTTTTTTTAAAATATCCGTTTCCCACCTTCAGGGAAACGGATGGACAGAAGAGAGGAGGTAGAATTTGTTCAGTCAGTAAACTTTTGTTTATTCCTTCATTGCTCCCTGGGAACACAGCTAAGTGGGATCCTGGTCAGCTAAGATGAAAGCCTGTGTTGAGTATGACAGTGTGTTCTGAGCTGCGATGTTCAAGCAGGGCAGCTGGCGCATGGCCCAGATGTTCATCTACTTACCTGGCCTGCAGGTTTCACAGACAGCATACCCAGCCTGAACTCAGTGTCTTCGTTCTACCTCGGTGGCAAGGATGGGGAGAGGAGACCTTCTCTTCCATTAATTTCGAGTTAGTGAATGGCACCAGTAGCCCAGTTAGTTTTGCTGGGTACCTATGTAGGAGTCATCTCCGACAGCTCTGCCTGTGCCTTCACCTTGGAATTCTGCTTTCTCCCCCCGCCTGCTTCCCTAGACCAAGGCACCTGTGTCTGTCTTGTGGGACAGTGCACATGTGGAGGGAATTGTAGTTGACCTAGAAAAATAGTAAAATGGGGTGGAGGCCATTGAGGGAGTTCAGGCTGCTTCACAATTTGCAGATAAGCATTCATAGTGTCTGCTTAACCTTCTAGACAAAGTGGTGAAGAAAGGGAAGAAGGACAAGAAGAACAAAAAGACGGTGAGGAAAGGAGGGTTGAGGATAAGAACTGATTGTGAGTGTTTCCGTGTGAAGGTGGCGGGAGGTCTGGGAAGAGATCTTGTCATGAGGAAGCGCAATGTGGTGGAAGGGAGGGTCAGTGGGCTGCATGTGGCAGAGGGGCTTGCTCAGTCTCTGAGCCACTGACCTATATCTGAACTCTTGCTAGTTCTTTGAAGAGCTGGCAGTAGAAGATAAACGGGCTGGGGAAGAAGAGAAGGTGGTCAAGGAGAAGGAGCAGCAGCAGCAGCAGCAGCAGCAGGTACAAGTGTGGGGCCCACCAGCCCTCTCCAGCCATGTCAGTGCAGCCAGCTGATGGGGACTCTCTGAGGCAGAGATGCTGCAGGGACCCTGGCCTCAGACTCACTCTCACGCTCTGCTCTCAGCAAAAAAGAAAACGAGACACCCGCAAAGGCCGGCGGAAGAAGGATGCGGATGACGACGACGAGGAGAAAGAGCTCCTGGAGCGTCTCCAGAAGCTGTCAGTGCCCGCCAGTGATGAGGAAGGAGACGGTGCGGCCTGGGGGAGTGGGTCCTGAGCCCCGAGCCGCAGAGGGGGAAGTGCCTCATTCCTTCACCAAGAGTTAGTGGGGGGGGGGGGAAGAGATAAACCACAGAACTTATGTGCATGTAGGCATAACCAATGGGCATGGACAACAAAGCCGGGGACGGGGTGGGGGGGATGGGGCGGAGAGTGTCAGTGGGTAAAAAAGGAGAAACATCTGTAACAAAAAATAAATAAACAAACAAACAAATAAATAAGTAAATAAAAAGAGTTGGTTTAGATTGAAGAGCCAGAATCATCATTCTCTTTCCTGCCTCATCTTCTTTCTTTGTCATTTCAGTATCTGCCCTGACACCCCAAGGAGGGAAGAAAACCAAGGTGAGCTGTCTCGTAAACAGAGACTCCAGGAGTGTAACCTTGACCATCCCACTGACTTCTCTGGCCCTTTCATTCTCCAGGGGGGTAATGCTTTTGCAGCCCTAATTCAGGATGAGAGTGAGGACGAGGAGGAAGAAAAGCCCCCTCCTAAGCCTGCCAAGCCAGAGAAGAACCGGATCGACAAGGTGAAGGAGGGGGCGCTGCGGGCGCGCCAGCCCTTGGCCGCCTGGCTGTGGTGCTAGGCCCCTGGGTGCACCTGCTCTGAGCTCTTCTAGGTCTGTCTTGCTTAAACTATCAGAAGTCAGCTTTTTACAATCCTCTTTTTATTATTTGGAAATGTATAGTGAGTTGCTTCCAAACTCAAAGTCTAAAACAAAGGCTTCAAGTCTTTGCTCTTCACTTGGGGTTCTTCTGTGTGTACCTTTCGGATCGGCCCTGACCCCATCTTGACTTCCAGCTGTCTGTGTTGAAGCATTTATTCTTTTTTTTCCCCCCCTTTATTGATGTTTAGAGAGAGAAGAAGGGAGAGGGAGAGAGAGAGAGATAGAAACATTGAGGAGAGAGAACATCGATTGGCCGCCTCCTGCATGCCCCCCACTGGGGATTGGGCCCACATCCTGGACATGTGTCCTGACCGGGAATCGAGCCGGAGACCTCTTGGTGTGTGGGTCGACGCTCCAGTCTTCGTTCTTTTTCTGTCTTCTACCTTCCCCGGAATGCCTTCTCCAAGCCTTGTCCATTTCCTCCTCTTCTCCAGCCTTGCCCTGGAGGGAGACCTGCAGCACTGGGGCCGCCCTGCCCTGCAGCCACCCGCCTGACTCAGCAGTGCTCTGGTTCTACTCTCTTGTCTCACGCTGGAGGCTAGGGTTTTCCTGGGTCTCTTCTCCCGAGGCCACTCAGTGTAGTTAACTCCTAGTCTCCCTAGAAATGCTTGTTAAGCAACAGGTAGCAAAGTAATTGTGTGTGTGTGTGTGTGTGTGTCTCCATGTCCTCTCTAGGCTCTTTCTGAGGAACAACAACCAGGACTTAAGGGCAAAAGGGGAAAGGAAGAAAAGTCAAAGGGGAAGGCCAAGGTGAGGGAATAAACTGGCAGGAGGAGGTGCTGGGTCTCAAGAATTTGAGCATTTTGCCCTGGCTCAGTGGTTAGAGTGTTGATCTGGGGACCAAAGGATTGTGGGTTCAATTCCCGTCAAGGGCATGTACCTGGGTTGCAGGTTTGATCCCTGGCTCTGGTCGGGATTGTGCGGGAGGCAACTAATTGATGTGTCTCTCTCACATCAGTGTTTCTCTCTCTGTGTCTCTCCCTCTCCCTTCCATCCCCCCTCCCTTCCTCCCTCCCTTCCATTTGCTCTAAAAAAAACATTAACGGAAAACTATCCTCGGGTGAGGATTAACAAAGAAAGAGTTTAAGCATTTCATTGGACCTGCTGTCTTTCTCTGTTAGCCTCAAAATAAACTTTCCACTTTGGACAATGAAGACGAAGAAGATGAAGAAGAAAAAATAACAAAAGAAAGAGAGCCACCCAAGCAAGAGAAGGCCAAGAAGGCAGAGCAGGTGTGTGTTGGTGTTGGGGGCCAGGTCTGGGGGCTGGTACTACGCACAGCAGGAGTTGGTAGACTTCCGTGAAGGAGTCGACACAGTAAATATTTTTGGCTTTGTAGGCCACATACAATCTCTGACACATATTCTTCCTCTTTTTTTTAATAACTCTTTGAAAATGTAAAAACTATTCTTAACTCAGAGCCTTGGGTCAGATTTGGCCCACCGGCCACAGTTTGCAGCCCCACATCCAGAGAGGAGAACACTTGGCATTTACCTCATTCGAGCTGGCTGAGTGGCCTTGAGGACATCTGTCCACCTCCTTGGTTCTCAGGCATCCTATCAGCATGGGCTGAAGGAGTCCCGTGACCACCTCCGTCCCCTCCAGCCAATGCTCCCCATCCTCGGCTCTGCTGCATTCTGCAGTGGCTGTGTGGTAGGGCCAATGTGTGAGCTTTTGTGACAATAAAGGAGGACGAGAGCCTGTCACGTTTATCCTACCCGGTAGTCACATTGGTAGTTCTGTGTGCAGGAGTGTACACGTTGCTGCACATGCTCCTGCCATCTGCCTGGTAGTAGCAGACGCAGGTCGCGACGCGGAGGAGACCGAGTGGATGTGAGAGAGCTCACCACGACGTCTCAGGACTCCAGGTGCTGAAGGAAGAGCTGGCCGTACAGGCTGGAGGCAGGTGACATGAAATCCAAGTTCTAGAAGGGGGTCCTCACTTTTTACTCTCCCCTAGTTCTCACAGGGTTCAGAGGAAGAAGGAGAAGAGGATGAAGAAGGGGAGTCTAAGGCCGATGATCCCTATGCCCACCTTAGCAAAAAAGAGAAGAAGAAGCTGAAGAAACAGGTAAGACCTTGGGTTTTTAGTGGACAAAGGTAGGACAGTTTGATATTTTTAAGCTTCAATTAGGGGACATGTGAATTGGGGACAAGGAGGAGAGCTTTGGGTGCCATTTCAAGCTAAGCAGAGTAAGGAAAGGGTGGAGGTCTATGAGCCTTGTCGTGTCTGATGACGTGGGCTGTGTCGTGACGGACTGGCAGACAGTGGTCCCTCCTCCTCAGATGGAGTACGAGCGCCAGGTGGCTTCACTGAAGGCAGCCAGTGCTGCAGAGAATGACTTCTCCGTGTCCCAAGCAGAGATGTCCTCCCGCCAAGCCATGCTAGAGAACGCGTCCGACATCAAGGTGAGGGTGGCCTTCTCCAGCTCACCAGGGAAACGCCAGCTCTCACCTGCGTGGCCCTAGCAACCAGAGAAGTAGGGTGTGGGTGGCTCAATCCGCTGCAGGAAAGCTTGGAGGTATTTGCTGCACCTTGAGTTCTGCCATCTTGAGCCAGAAGATAGACAAATTAGAGGTCGAGGGTCCACCCTTGGAGGGAAGTAGGTGGGATGGGCTGGACTGGCTTAATTTGGGAGAGCCTGTTGGGAGGAGTGGACAGGGCAGGGGACTGGCATGGTAGGAGGAGGGGGATTATGCTGAAGGTCTTGGTCTGCCGAGGCTTCCCTGCAGGGAGAGTTCTCACTGTGCCCGTTCCTCCCTTCTGCGCTGGTGGCTGCAGCTAGAGAAGTTCAGCATCTCGGCCCATGGCAAGGAGTTATTCGTCAACGCAGACCTGTACATTGTGGCCGGCCGCCGCTATGGGCTAGTGGGACCTAACGGGTGAGGAGAGGAGGGGCTGGAGGTGTCAAGGGGGAGAGGCTGGAAGGAAGAGAAGAGATTTCTCATTGGTGGCCTGGTCCTAACAGTCCTCATTCCCCAGCAAGGGCAAGACCACACTCCTCAAGCACATCGCCAACCGTGCCTTGAGCATCCCCCCCAACATCGACGTGTTGCTGTGTGAGCAGGGTGAGGCACCAGTGGGGAGGGGACTCCAGGTGTGCCTGTTGGGGTGCTCCACCAGGAAGGGAAGCAGTGTGGTGGGGGTTGGAAAGGTTATGGGGGGAACCTGGCCACTGGGTAAGTGATGCTAAAGAAAGGGGGAGGAAGTCAGGGGTGCAGCACATTTCATTTGAAACAGAGTCAGGAGAACCAGAAATGGAGCTGGAGGGCAGAGGGAATCGGGTCCCTGGCCCTGGGTGGCCTGACTCTCCTCCCCGCCCCCAGAGGTGGTAGCGGATGAAACGCCCGCAGTACAGGCTGTTCTTCGAGCGGACACCAAGCGGTTACAGCTGCTGGAAGAGGAGCGACAGCTTCAGGCGCAGCTGGAGCAGGGCGATGACACAGCTGCTGCGAGGTTGGAGAAGGTAGAGGACACTGCAGTGGTTCACAGGCTGACACTTGGGGGTTCCTGCAGCCTTGGATGTGTGACCTCTTCTCCCTCCTCCCAGGTGTATGAGGAACTGCGGGCTACTGGCGCGGCGGCCGCAGAGGCCAAAGCCCGGCGGATCCTGGCTGGTCTGGGCTTCGACCCTGAAATGCAGAATCGGCCCACACACAAGTTCTCTGGGGGCTGGCGCATGCGTGTCTCCCTGGCCAGGTGGGCTGCTCACCTGCTGCCCTCCCTTCAGCCTTAGCCTGCCAGGCCCTTTTCATCCTTCCCGGGCCAGTAGGGAGGTTCCAGGCTGACTTCTCTCTCCCTTGCTGTTTGTTGTCAGACTTCAGGCCTCTTCATTTCTCTCCCAACCAGGTGGACATTCTCCCTCAGGAAGATTTCTGAGGAGAGAGAGGGAAGGGGAGTGTGCATGGTCTGGGCTCCACCTGCCGGCGCTGCTCTGGGTTCTCTGAGCAAGGACCTTTCCCCTCTGACCCGACACTTTGCCCAACCCTCTAGGGCGCTGTTCATGGAGCCCACACTGCTGATGTTGGATGAGCCCACCAACCACCTGGACCTCAACGCTGTCATCTGGCTCAATAAGTGAGTCACCTTGCTTGTGGGCTTGGCGTCAGCAGTTCTGGGGCTGCCGCGGCCTCGCTGTCCGCCCAGCCGGCCCTCTCCCCGCCTGCTCCCTGTCTGTCTGCGTGCCTGAGCTGATCACTGTGCTCTTCCCGTACTCTCCTCTGAAACCAGCTACCTCCAGGGCTGGCGGAAGACACTGCTCATCGTCTCCCATGACCAGGGCTTCCTGGATGACGTGTGCACTGACATCGTCCACCTCGACGCCCAGAGGCTCCACTACTACAGGGGCAATTACAGTGAGGAGGGGGCGGGCCCCAAGCAGGGGCCTGGGAGGGAGGGACCGTAGGGATGTGGTGATGAGCTAGGTCTTCTCAGAGTCTAGCGCTGGTGCCCGTCCGTCCCTCCTCAGTCCTGATTGTCCCTGTCTGCTGGGGGAGGGGCGCCCACTGATGCCCAGCCTCCTTTTCTGCCCAGTGACCTTCAAGAAGATGTACCAGCAGAAGCAGAAGGAGCTGCTGAAGCAGTACGAGAAGCAAGAGAAGAAGCTGAAGGAGCTGAAAGCAGGTGGCAAGTCCGCCAAGCAGGCGGTGAGCACGCGGCTCTTCCTGGGTGGGGACCCCTGCGGAGAGCCGGCAGAGCAGTCTGGGACCCAGCCTGCGCTCCAGGGACACTGAGTGAGGCTTCTCCCTTTCCTCTGCAGGAGAAGCAAACAAGGGAAGCCCTGACTCGCAAGCAGCAGAAATGCCGAAGGAAAAACCTGGACGAGGAGTCACAGGAGGCCCCTGAGCTCCTGAAGCGCCCCAAGGAGTATACCGTGCGCTTCACGTTCCCCAATCCCCCGCCGCTCAGCCCCCCTGTGCTGGGCCTGCACGGTGAGCCCAGGTGCACGCGCGGGCCCCCAGTCCTTCTCCAGGGCTAGCGCTTGGGGCCAGCCTTCAGGGCCACTGAAAAGAGAAGAAACTCTTTCTCTCCTGGCCCTCAGGCGTGACGTTTGGCTATGAGGGGCAGAAACCACTCTTCAAGAACCTGGATTTTGGCATCGACATGGACTCAAGAAGTGAGTCGGAGGTGGTTGGCCCGGGGAGTTGGAGCGGGAGACACAAGGGGAGCGGCTGAGACCTCTCTGACCACTGGTCTGCTCTTGCAGTCTGCATCGTGGGCCCTAACGGTGTGGGGAAAAGCACCTTGCTCCTGCTGCTGACAGGCAAGCTGACGCCGGTGAGTCCTGCGGGCGGGCCGGGGCGGAACCACGCTCACTGGAGGCTGGAGCCGAGCCCCTGCAGGGCAGAGTTAATGCAGAACTCAGCACACTCACCTCCCTGCCGGGTGCTGTGAGAGCAGTTTAGGTCAGTCCAGGGAGCAAAGCCAGGAGAACGGGGGTTGAAGCTGCATTACCCCCATGTGTGTTGTTTTGGTTATACAAGAAGCATGTTACTTACAGAATGATTCAAATTAAATAAGCCAAAGAAAAGTCTAGAGATAACCAGTATTAATTTTGGTGGGTAGCTTTCTTTTTTATTTTTATTTTTTGCAAATATGCATATGCTTTCTTTTTTTAAAAACAAAAATGGGCCCTGCCCTGGCCGGTTTGGCTCAGCGGTTAGAGCGTCGGCCTGCGGTCTGGAGAGACCCGGGTTCGGTTCCTGCTAAGGGCATGTACCTCGGTTGCAGTTTGTCTCCGGCCCTGGTTGGGTCATGCGGGAGGCAGCCACTCGATGTGTCCCTTTCACGTCGATGTTTCTCCCCCTCTCTCCCTCCCACTCTGTCTGACCAGAAAATGGAAAAATGTCCTTGGGTGAGGATTAAAAAAAAAAGGGCTATCACATGAATTGTTCTGTATCTAGTTTTTCCAGATAATATACATCAAGCATTTTTCCATGCCAGTAATTACATGGAGCTACCAAACTTACTTGATTATTTGTGGTTTTCAATGAAGGACAATACTAGAGCAAGTGTTCTTACTATACGTCTTCGTGAACTTAGTTTTGCCTAAATTGATTGCCTTTAGGACCTCAGCAGTCTGTTGCCCTGCACACTTAGATAGGTGGTGGCCACTGTCCTCCCTGCATGAGATTGTTTCGAGGGTCCTTACCCTTGGGTCTTCCAGAGACCTGTCCTAGCCTTGGACCCGGGGGGCCTGGAGAGCGCACTGTGCATGAGTCCTCTTGGGGGGGAGGGTGACCTTTAGCTGTGGCCAGCCTCCTGCTGGTTCTGAATCTGTGCCTTTGTCTCCCCTCCTTCATTCTCCAGCTATTACTTCCTTTTGCTCCCTGCTCTGACTTCTTGGTGTGCCTTTGTCACATTAGAGAGGACATCTGCGTTCTCTTGCTCACACTGACCTGCTCCCAGCCCCATTCTGGCGTTTGCCTCCCCTTCGGGAGAGCTGAGATGTGGACCTGCAGCACCTTTTCCTTCCCCATCTCACCCTCGCTCTTTCCTTGCAGACTCAGGGGGAAATGAGAAGGAACCACCGGCTGGTAAGTCGGCCTTGGGAATTCGGGAATGAGAGCTCCTTAGAGGAAGCTGGACTTTCACTGACCCCCTTCCTCTTCCCGGGGGCAGAAAGTCGGCTTCTTCAACCAGCAGTACGCAGAGCAGCTGCACATGGAGCAGACGCCCACGGAGTACCTGCAGCAGGCCTTCAACCTGCCCTACCAGGACGCCCGCAAGTGCCTGGGCCGCTTCGGCCTTGAGAGTCATGCCCACACCATCCAGATCTGCAAACTCTCCGGTACTGCCCTGGGGGCTGGGGCAGGTGCTCCTCCCCTCAGCACTCCTAGCCACAGCTGTACCTGGATGAGAGGGAAGAGGAGCCAAGGCGGGGGAACCTCAGCATGCACACATATTCAGGTTGGCCTGTGGAAGTGGGAGGTGGTCAGCGGTGTGACAGCCCTCCTTTCTCTCTGCTGCAGGTGGGCAGAAAGCCCGAGTTGTGTTTGCAGAGCTGGCCTGTCGGGAGCCCGATGTCCTCATCTTGGTGAGTGAGCCGCAGGAGGGGGCCGTGGCGGGTGGGGGCCCCGCCGCTCAGTAATGCAATGCCTCCTCCACAGGATGAGCCCACCAATAACTTGGATATTGAGTCGATCGATGCTCTGGGGGAGGCCATCAATGAGTACCAGGGCGGTGAGTCAGCTCAGAACACCTCCTCCTCCTTCCCCTGGGAGCTGGCTGGGGCTCCCTCTTTTATGCTAGGATTGGCTCTCCTCCTTTCTCCCTGTCCTCATTCGCACACCTTCCTTCACAGCTGTGATTGTCGTCAGTCACGATGCCCGGCTCATCACAGAAACCAGCTGCCAGCTGTGGGTAGTGGAGGAGCAGAGCGTCAGCCAGATCGATGGAGACTTTGAGGACTATAAGCGGGAGGTGTTGGAGGCTCTGGGTGAAGTCGTGGTCAATCGCCCTCGAGAGTGAGCGTCCCTTCCCAGACCCGCCTGCGTGGCCGGGTGTTTCCCGGTGTCAGTCTCCGCTCGGAAGCCTGCCTGTGGTCTGCAGCTGACGGAGGCGGAGGCGGTCTCGGTGTGACCAGGGCCCTCCCATTGCTTCCTTTCCTCTGAAAGATTTGTCTGCTTCTCTTCATATAACTGAGCTTCATTAGAGTGGGTTCCATCCAGCCAAACTTATGTGGCCAGTGGTCTTGAGTCTCTCTCATCACTCCACACCTGCCTGTGCCCCACCTGCAGCCCTGCAGCCCAGTGACCCCTGGGGTCTGAGTGACCCTGCCCTTTCCCGGTGGGCGTCACGCCAACCCGGAGGCAGGAGCGGCTGTGGCAGGTCTGCTGGGGGAGTGGTCTGAGGCCTGTGCTGTTACCTGGCTCTGGGGCCTGCAGCCTGGGCTGGGGGAGACATGGGGGCAGGAAAGGAATGCGGCTCAACTCGAATGGCCCTGGACAGGGACCAGGAATAAAGGAAGCGGTTGCTGCCGCCCTGTCTGCAGATTCGTGGGGGCTGGAACAGTTTCATCTTGATTTGCTTTGTTCAGTTTTCTAGCAGCATTTAGAGTCCTCTCTTCCCCAGTAAGTCAGATGGTGTAACTTGCATTCTTACTGCTCCTGTGTGAGGAGCCTCCCTCCCCACCCTTCAGGACACCCAGAGGTCAGGGACCAGGTGCTGAACCCCCGGACATGTAGAGTGCTGGAGGGCGCGGAGGGGAAGGGCCGGGCCTGCCTGGGGAGTGGTCGGAGGACGGGAAGGAGGCCTGAGGGCTCGGGGACCTGGCTGTCCAGGCTCAGAGCTGTGGCTCCCAGGACACGGAGCGAACTTGCTGGTTGGTCAGGACTGCTCGAGAGTGCGTGCGCCTTGATTGAATAGTAGGGAACAGAGAGCCTAGGGAAAGAGCAGATGTAAGACTTGGAAGGAAGAGAATGGAAACTTGACAGTGAATGAGAGTGGCTGGAATGGCGATTTCCTTCTTAGTTAGGTTGGGGAGTGAAGGGTGAGCTTAACTGTAGAAACTTAGAGGTGGAGCCCATAACTTCTGTGGGGTTGAGTGATCTGAACTGGAGAGGGGTGGGAGGACCTCAGTGTGGGAGCCGAGGACGGGGTGATCAGTGCATCTGTCCAGTTCCGGGGGCGTGAAGAGCTGCCTGTTCAGATTGAGTTTGGAAATCTAATTTGGGGAGTTATTCTCTGGCCGAGGGAAGAAGTGCGGCTGGGCCTGGCGTGACGACGTGTGCTGACGAGGCTCGCGGCGGACCGTGCGCAGGCGCAGCAGGGCGCAGCTCCAGCGGGGTTCCCGGGTGAAAGGTGAGGGTCTCGTGCCAGACACTCGAGGGAGACACTACATGTACTTTTCCCCAGTTCATGAAGTAGAGGACAGTGGGGCCAGGCTTATGCTGGCTTCTGATGCCGTGACCTTGGGCAAGGTACCTGATTCCCCATCTATAAAATGATGGTGATAAAAGGTACTTATCTCACAAGTTATCAAGGGATTTGACGTGTAACTGTAAAGTGCCTTCAGTTTTTTTACTTTTGTTACATCTTCCGTTACACTCTACATTTAAAATGTTCAGATGAGATGATACATAAAGTATATAGGAATGTTACTTATAAAGTTAATGCCAAAAAAAATTTTTGTTAATCATCACACGATATTTCCTGTTGATTTTTATATAGAGTGGAAGGGAGGGAGGGAAAGAGAGAAACATCGGTATGAGAGAGACATATTGATTGGTTGCCTCCTGCATGGGGATTGAGTCTGCAACCCAGGTATGTACCCTTGACTGGGAACCGAACCTGAGACCCTCTGGACTGAGGGCGGGGCTCTGACTGCCGAGCCCACCGGCCAGGGTTGACACCAAAACTAGTTTCAAGTTTTTGATCTCTAATTTCACTACAGGCACTTCAGATGCTCCAAAGTAACTTTGTCCAAGAGCACACATTTTATTTCATCAATATACATAGTGTATAATGTAATGAAATTATTCATATGCCTAAGCATGCTCAAAAGGATGCCACCTCTCCCCCAAAAAAACAGTAACACTGAAATGGAACTTGGAAAAAATAGCAAATTTACATGGGACAGCATGTGGGTAACCCAAAGCCTGGGAAAGGCAGTATCATTAACCGTTAGATATTTATATTTTTATTCATAAACAGTTTTAGTACCTACACATCTTGTACTAATGTAACAATGAGCAGCACGGAAGTCCTCAGGAATGATTCTGCAGCTTCCTGATGAAACAGACAAGGACACTGGCCTGCCAGCCTCCAATGGGGCTGTCCCTCTAGTGAGGGCCTGGCTCTTTCTCCAGTGTCCTGGGCATGCTCCCTAACCTGCAGAATGTGGGGTGTTTTCTTGTACACTGAGATTCTGGGTTTGAATCCGCCTGGGCATATACTCGGGTTGTGGGTTCAATCCCCAATCAGGGCATGTACAGGAGGCAGCCAATCGATGTTTCTTACATTGATGTTATTCTCTTCCCCTCCCTCCTTTCCACTCTAAGAATCAATGGGAAGCCCGGCTGGTGTGGCTCAGTGTTTGAGAGTCGACCCATGCACCAAGAGGTCACCGGTTTGATTCTCTCGGTCAGGGCACATGCCCAGGTTGTGGGCCTGATCCCCAGTGGGGGGCATGCAGGAGGCGGTCAGTCGATGTTCTCATCAATGTTTCTACCTCTCCCTCTTCTTCATCTCTCTAAAATCAAGAAAAAAAAAATCAGTGGGAAAATATCCTCAGGTGAGGATTACCACAAAGTTAAAAAAAACTGGAAAGAGCTTGACATAGTCAAGGAATGTGGCTTGAGCAGGGCCCGGACACATGGCACCTTCTGAACCTTGACAGGGAGTTGGGATATGGTCCTAGGAGCAATGGAAGGCCATTGGTGGTGCTTACACAGTAGTGCCAATTGATTTGGTTTCCATTTGTACAGAATTGCCCTGGCTGCTGGGTGGGGAGCAGTGAGGGGCAGGAGAGGTCAGAAGCCATATTGCCTTGGAAAGAAGAGGCCCTTCTTCCTCTAAGGAAGGCGGGACTCGTGTTTTCAGGTGATGGGAATGGGAAATGGTGCTCATACTAGTTGGGGCCAGTTCTGGTGCCAGAGAATCAAGAATTAAGGAGTTTGCCAAGCAGCAGCAAATGTTGAGTTAGTACTAATTGTACTGGGCCAAAATGGTAGGGTTTTGAAAAAAAAATTTAGAGAAAAAGGGAGCCCGGCTGGTGTGGCTCAGTGGCTGAGCATCGGCCCTGCACCAAGAGGTCGCCGATTCAATTCATCAGGGCACATGCCCAGGTTGTGGGCCCGATCCCCAGCGGGGGGTACGCAGGAGGCAGCCAATCAATATCAATGTTCTTTCTCGTCGATGTTTTTCTCTCCCCCCCCTCCCCTTTCCTCTCTCTAAAAAACTAATAAAGAAAATAAAAAATGCATCCCAGACCTGGATTAGAACATTTGCTGGCCCCCACTCCCAATCTGTATTTTTAAAAATGTTTTTTTCTATTGATTTGAGAGGCAGAGGGAGAAAGGAAACATTGGTGGCCTGGGGTTTTCTATTCACAGAGCAGTACACTTCAATCTTTCCCTTAATGCCAACTCTGTGACTTGAAGGTAGAACTTGTTAGCTCCACTCAAAGGACTGAAAAGCAGATTCTACAAAGGTTTGTATTAATGTACCTAAAACAGCTCATAATGGCTTGGTTTTGTTTTTTTTTAATGAGTCCAAACACACCAGGGGTTAAATAAGCTGCCTCTCTTTCCACTGTTTATTATTAATGTACAAAATATACAAAACCAAAAGAAAAAAATACTCATCCTTAAATCCATTGTGGCTCTAACCCAAGATCCTGCACAAAACCCAACCAGTCCACTGTTTTCACAGAAAACAACTGATGCTGAGACGGGAAGAAGGCTAGGCAAGGGCCAGTTGTGTTGAGTGTACCCAGTCAGGCGCCTGGCAGGGACTCAGGTGGCCTCAGTCCAGCAAGGTCCCAGGTGGGGACAGGAAGTGTGCCAACTTCCAAGGTGCATGTAGTGTGACTGTTGGGCCCAGCATACCAGGCTTCAGTTCATGAAAAGCTGGTCTCACTGAAGTGTTTCCAGCATGAGCTACATACGCAAGACAGACCCCCAGCACCAGCTGAACCGGCACTGGACGCCACCATGAGCTCGCATCACAGCCTGGAGCCAGGATGCAGACCAGTGCTCTCAGGAGGCTGCAGCTTCACTTGAGAAAGGACTCAGAATGTGTCCAGCCTGTGTCAGGGGAGGAGTGGGGAGCCCTCTCAGTGCAGTGGGGTATCCGATACCCCTTTACTGTCTTCCCCACCCCACGAGGAACAGTGGACTTGGCTGGGATGGTTTCATAAGTGCAGCAGATCCCAGAGTCAGCTCTGCACGGGGAGGACCCGAGGACCCAGGCTCTCCAGGACAACCAGTCTTGGCTTTAAAGGTGATACTGGAAAGGGGCTGGGGTTCCAGGGCAACCTCCTCGCAAAGTGAAGCCAGCGAGTCTCCTCGTGAGTAGTCAGGGCACAGTGTGTCCAGTCCTCCTCCCAGACCAGGGGAGTTGATATCAGTGCGCACCAGTGATCAGAAAACCCCGGAACATGAGCAGGTGGGGACTGAGGGCCGGCTCCTCCTCAGCTGGGGACGGGACAAATGGGCCTCACAGAAGCCATAACAGTGTGGGGAGGGCAGGCAGGGCCTTAGGGCAGGGGGGGCCCATTGACCCCTGGGTGGTAGAAGGCACAGCTGTTCTCATAGCGGCAGTTGCCCTTCATCATAAAGTGTCGGCAAACGGGGCGGTTTGACATGTCTGGAAAAGATGGTGGAGCAGTTAGCTAGGAAATGGCTAGGAGGGACTGCTACCCTCACCCACCCCCAAGACCACGAGTCCTGAGAACTGTCTGTCAGAGGTAGAGCCTTGGGGGCTGGGGGAAGGGCAAAGGATAGCAACAGCGATGCATGCTGGGAACAGGTGACCACATGTTCTGCCTAGCATACCCAGGGCAGTGACACTCCCCAGAACCGTGTGTGGTGCAACAAATGCCACACAGGGGGCAGGGATCATCCTCACCTCCTCCATGGCTGTGGCCTCCATCGTGCCCTCGGTGGCCCCCTCCTCCGTGGCCAGGGCCATCATGGCCTCGGTGCTCATGAGGAGGTGGCCCTCGATGGTCATGGCCTCGGTGACCAGGGACATCATGAGGCCGGTGGCCATGGGGTCCCCCATGTCCAGGACCTTCATGGGGCCGATGTCCCCCATTTCCACCCATGCTCCCTCCAGGACCTTCATGAGGACGATGACTACTGCCACTGCCCATGCCACCACCAGGGCCTTCGTGGGGACGATGTCCACCGCCTCCAATCATGCCCCCACCAGGGCCCCCTCGTCCATTTGGGGGTCCTCCTCCAGAGCGACCTCCTCTGGCCCCTCGAAATGGAGGAGGAGGAGGAGGCTCATTTCCTCCACGGCCACCACGACCTCTATGGTATGGTCCAGGTCCTGGACCCCCCCGCATTGGGCCACCTCTCATGGGGTCACCAGGGCCATCCCAGAAGGGATCACCTCCCCGGGGAGGGGGTGGAGGACCCAAGAGACGTGGACCCACTGGCCCACCTGGGCCCCCAGGGCCTCCATGGGGACCTGTTAGGAAGAGAGGAAGAGAGAAAATGTCAGCTACCTGGCACACTCAGGGACTGTACCCCGCCTTGGTCAATCCTACACTACTACCAGGGCCAAGTTAAGCAGAGAAGCCCATTCCAAAATCTCACTCACCACCTACCTGGCACAGGTCCCCCAGGGCCAGGGGGGAAGTGCTGCATTCCTTTGGGGCCCCCGGGGCCTCCTTGAGGGAAACCATTGGCTATTGGACCAGGGCCTAAGAGTCCATGAGGCACTGTTAATGAAAAAAGGAGTCAAAAAGTCAGAAAGAGGACTCTAGAAGAGTAACATACCTTCTCAGTTAAGTGTGCCCAACTGATCCTTTAAGACCAACCTGGCCAAGCAATGCTCTCTGGGTCTAGCCCCAACCCCATGTCTGACCCCCGCTTCCCCAACACCACGCTGGCTTCCTCCCCAGCCCCCCGCAGGCTTCTTCCCCAGCCCCCCGCTTCCCCAACCCCACGCTGGCTTCCTCCCCAGCCCCCCGCTTCCCCAACCCCACGCTGGCTTCCTCCCCAGCCCCCCGCTTCCCCAACCCCACGCTGGCTTCCTCCCCAGCCCCCCGCTTCCCCAACCCCACGCTGGCTTCCTCCCCAGCCCCCCGATTCCCCAACCCCATGCAGGCTTCCTCCCCAGCCGAGCTGGCCCCCATGGTTACCCAGCATCTGCTTGATCTTGTCCGAGTAGTCCGGTTGCTTCAGCAGCTCCTCTGAGGGGTGACTATTTGGGCTGCCCTGTGAGGCAAGGTCAACAGAGAACGGTGCTCAGCAGAGAAGGGGAGAGCCAAGCAGAGGTGAGGGGGAGACGAGAGGACTCGGATAAAGAGAAGGGGGGTTCAGACAAAGTGGGAAAGAGGAAGGAGGCTGTACCATGATAGAGGTGAGGATCTCCTGGACGTTGATCCCGCCTCCTCCAGGACCCTGGGGGCTCTTCCCAGCACCCATGCTCCCCATGAGGTTGGCCAGAACGGGGGGCAGCTTGGAGCCACCTGCCCCGTCAGGTGAGCCACCGGCCTCCCCAGGCTCCAGAGTCTCAACATACGGGGTCTCATCCATGGAACACTCCTGAAAGCAGAGCAGACAGTGAGGACAGCTACAGAGGGAAGGAGCCTCACGAGCTGCCATCACCCCTCACAGCCCGTCAGTGCACTCACCTCGTCTAGGGGGATGAGCTTCGGGGGCACAGGCTCGTAGGGCTCGGGGTCAGGCTCGTGAGGGCTAGCAGGACGCCACAGGTGGAGCAAAAAAGAGTGACGGTCAAATTATTTATTCAGGCCCTGGAATTTCTTCCTGACCTCCCCCCTCTCCATCATCACCCCAGCGCATGCCCCTCAGGAGCCCACGCACTGCCACCCCCGCACGAGCCCCTCTGCTCACCTTTCCTTGTTCAGGAACAGCTCCTGAAGGATCCCTTTCTCCCGCTCAGCCTGGATGTACCGTTCCTGGCTGTTGCTTCCAGGGGTGACAAGAGGTGAGGGCAGAACCAGGGGCCGGGGGCACACCCATGGCACCTTCTCTTCCATGTTGTCATGGCTCAGGCGCCGGGCCGTTTCAAATGCATGTCGATCTGACAGTATCTCTCGCTTCGCAGCCTCGCCAAAGTCCTTGATCTTATTCACATTTACTAATGACAAGGAGGAATAAAGCAAGAGAGAAAGTAAGCATAACCATGTCCTTTTAAAAATCTCAGTACCTATTATGCAGACATTTTGACTTCTAACCTCTTTCAGTTTCATCCAGTTCAAAATAGAAATACTCCCTCAGCCTGCCCTCCTCAGGCCACGTCACGGTTTTCCTCTTCCGGCCTTTCCGGGTCAGCTGGCTGGGGTCGCCAGGACTCTCCACTGGCTTCGCATCCAGAGCTCCTGGCTCCAAAGCAGCTGTAAGCAGGAGAGGTTTCAGACCCAGGTCCTTCCTCTTAGAAAAGCCCCAAACCCGGACCAGTTTCTGGCTTACCTGTCTCCAGGAGCTCTGGGACTTCCACAGGGGGAACCGGGGTCCCGGGGCGGTCTGTGTCCATAGCCTCAGGAGGTGCTGGCTCTGGGGAAGAAGGTTTGGCTGTGCTTGGTTCTGTGCCTGTTTTCCCTTCAAATGGGCTTGGCTATTATAAAAGAAAAAGAAGTCAGTGAGCTGACAGAAAAGCCAAGGTCAAGGCAAGGCAGTTAGTCCAGGGTCCTAGGCAGGATCCAAGAGTTCATATGAAGATCTATGTCCAACGCTGCCCACGGTCACCAGTCTACATTTCAGACAAACCCCTCTTGCCTTCCCCAACTCTGAGCTGCTGGGCCCTTTCTTTTTTGCAAAATGTTTTTATTGCTTTAAGAGAGAGAAGAGAGAAACATCGATCAGCTGCCTCCTGCACGCCCCCCACTGGGGATTGAGCCTGAAGCCTGGGCATGTGCCCTGACCAGGAATCAAACTGTGACCTCTAGGTGCACGGGACTACGCTTAACCACTGAGCCACACAGGCCAGGGCGTTGGGCCCTTCCTTTGACTTCACCTTTACACACCGTCACTGACACCTACTACCCAGGGCCCATACCTTGGCAGCTGTAGGCGACAGCACTTTTTTCTTCTTCTTAATTTTGATGCCTGGAACAGGGGCTGAATTGAGCGCGTCCAGGAAGCCTAGGCCCTCCATAGCTACAAGAAGAAAAAGCGTAAATGGAACCATCACACCTCCTTTACAATCCTAGTCCTATAGATAAAAGTCTGGGCAGAAAAATAGGTCAGTGGAGACATTGCCACAATTTGGGACACACTAAACTCATGGTGACCAGGAAGCACATGCACCATAAATTCCTGGTACAACTCTCTTTCTAGTAAAGGTAGGCAAGCTGTGGTTTGGGGTGTGAATTAGAGCTCAGGTGACTGATAAGCCAGCGCTGAAGACATGACAGGTGACCCCCCAGATGGAAGAGCCCCTAACCAGTCACCGAAGAGCACACCTCCCACCTCATCTCTGAAGTCACTCCTAAGTCATCCTATGAAGCAAGATTTCAGAGGTGCAGAAATTAAGACACCAAGAAATCAGCCATGGCCGGTTTGGCTCAGTGTTAAGAGTGTCAGCCCGCGAACCAAGGGTCCCAGGTTCGATTCCAGCCAAGGGCACGTACCTCAACTGCAGTTCATCCCTGGCCCCTATTGGGGCCATGTGGGTGGCAACCACTTGAGGTGTCTCTCTCACATTCGTGTTTCCCTCTCTCTCCCACCCTGTCTGAAGATAAACATAAAAATATATCTTCGGGTGACGATTAAAAAAATAAGAATAAATAAAAACCAAGAAATCAAAGGAAAAAGGAGAAAAATATTACAGAGAAGGAACCCCCTCACACACATCCATCCCATGGAATTTTGTTTCCAATCAGCCCGCTGCCCACTTTGGACTCACGCTGTGGCGGGATGATCTTCACTTTGATCTCCTTGGTAGCATTGGGTGTGGTGTTGAGTGGCTTGTACTTCTTCTCTGCATGGGGTGCAGGGTCTCCTGGGGCAGCTGCTGAGCTGTTGGAAGAGGAACTGTCAAAAACACTGCCATTTGGCCCTTCCTTCTGTGCCCTCAGCCCACTCCGAAGCCCAGCACTCGGCCAGACCTCTGACGCTTGAGCGGGATGGGCTTCAGGTTGTATTTGTCAGAAACCAGCACTGCGCTGGCGTTCTTCTTCACAGGCACCAAAGACGGGGTCTCCAGCTCCAATCCTGGGGAAGAGACACAGTGTGGGGTTAAACTCACACCCCACCTTCTTGACTTTTTTGTTGTTATACTGATTTTAGAGCGAGGAAGAGAGAGAAACATCAATTGGCTACCTCCTGCATGCCCCCTACTTGGGATCAAGCCTGCAACCCGGGCATGTACCCTGACTGGGAATCGAACCAGCAACCTTTCGGTAGATGGGACAGTGCCCAACTGAGCCACACTGGCCAGGGCCACCTTCTTGACTTTTCCTCTCGGTTCATCTAGCCTTGTATAACCCCTCGAGCTTCATCCACTAGTCTTTGTCTTTTTGCATATCATAAGCCAGTGATTCCGCCATAGGCCCTGGGTGTGCACATGCTCACAGACCCTCTTGGGGCCAGACAACAGCCTCACCTGTGGAGCGGAACTTGGCATGACTGGGCGCTGTGGTTCGAAGAGACTTGGGCTTCTCCTTCTTCTTTTCTGGGGCCTCCTCGGCCCGGGGCTCAGCCTTCACCTCAGTTAAAGGTCGCTCAGGAGGGGTAGTTCGACCCTTTCCCTCTTCTTTCCGTTTTTTCTTATCTTTCTCTGTTGTAAAAAAATACTATATTTAGATAAAAAGAAAGACTGCCAGGCAGAGGTGAGGCAGGCTGAGCACACCGAAGGCCACGCCCCAGGGGAAACACAAATACAGGGGTCAGGACGCAGGAGCTTACCAGCTGGCTGGGTGCTACTCTGGGAACGGATGACAGCCATCCAGTCACTAACGAGGACTGAGGCCAATTTCCGGAGCTCTGCAGGTGACGGAAAGAGAAAATACCTCAGTAACTTGAAATATTACTCTTCTAGTAACGGGAAAGAGACCTGTGAGCATCTATTACTGAGCATGCTCTAAAACTCCACCAGTGCACATACACACAGGGTGTGCGACAGTAGGCGTGCAGTCGTGAGTAGGTGGAAGCTTGTTCTTGTATTATTCTTTAATTATTGTATTATTTGTAAACCTACTTTTGTCTACCCCTGTATATATCCTGTAATTGTTACAACAACCTAAAAATGTCTATATTTTTAAAAAGAATAGTTTATTGACTTTTTTAGAGAGAGAAGGGAGAACAGAGAAACACAGATGTTTGATCAGCTGCCTCCTGTACGCCCCTCCTGGGGATTGAGCCCACAACCTGGGCATGTGCCCTGGCCGGGAAAAAAACCAGGAACCTCTCAGTGCATGGATCAATGCCCAATCAACTGAGCCACACCAGCCAGAGCAACAACCTGAAGATGTTTACTCTCCCTCCACAGACAAAGAAGCACAGAGATTAGTCACAAAACTAGAAAGTGGCAGAATGAGCCCAATATCTATGGCTCTTCTCCTTCTGTTAAATTAAAATCAGGAGAAAGGTAGGCAGAGTTCAAGTATCTGAAGGGATACGAGATTCTAAAATATGCAGCATTGTTCTGTGTTGTCCTAAAGGCAAACTCAATGCAAAGTTTCAAGGAAGCTCATTTAGATCCATCTTACAAAAGACTTTCTTGGCAACCTTTTTTCTAGAACGCTGCTAGTGATAATGGTTTTTTAAAAATCAATTAAGTATAGCAAGGGTGAAAAAAGCTTAAAAACAGACCACTTTAGCGTTGTGGTTTATCCAAAGAAAAAAAAAAAGTCAGAGCATTTTGAAGAACAGAATTTGTTTGTAAATAATGGAAAAAATACCTTTGTAGCCCTCTCTTTTGTAGGCAAATTACCTACAGCATCTCTCTTCTTGCCAACATTTCCACTTACAGACTCATTTAATAATGAGATTGTCATGGAACATTGAAACCTAACTTTTCAAAATGGTAACGCAACTGGCAATTCTGTATCTAAGGCAAGGTGAATCCCAATGCATCACCAATGCAGGAACACCCTAAAACCTTTTGGAGCAATTGACACTATGGTCCAGTGACTTCACTATAGTCGATAAGGAAAGAACAAATTTCAGTATCCAAAGGACAAGTAAGAATAATAATTAAATCTATATTCAAGTCCAGCTGGTGAGGCTCAGTAGTTGAGCATCGACCCATGCATCAGGAGGTCGCCTGTTCGATTCCCAGTCAGGGCACATGTCCAGGCTGTGGGCCCAATACCCAGTGGGGACAATCGATGTTCTCTCTCATCGATGTTTCTGTCTCTTTCTCCCTTTCCCTTCCTTTCTCTCTATGAACAATAAAGGAAAAAATTTTTTTAAAAATCTATATTCAAAGAAGGCAGCACAGCTGAGCCAGCTGGAAACAGGGACAATGTACCTGCCAGGGAAGGGGCAAAAGATGGGCAGTGACTGAATGGGCTCTTCTGGGATATATATTAAACTACAAGTTATTATTAAAGATACCCTGAGATGTCACGAAAGTTAGGGGCCCTGGCCAGTGTGGCTCCGATGGTTGAGCATCATCTCATGCATCAAAAGGTCACCAGTTCAATTCCCAGGTAGGGCACATGCTCGGGTTGCAGGCTCAATCCCCAGTAGGGGGCATACAGGAGGCAGCCAATTGGTGTTTCTCTCCCCCCTCCCCCGTTCTTACTCACTAAAGTCAATAAAAACATATTTTCTAAAAAAAAGAATTGAAAGTTAGGGAATGTTTTTCACCTAAACAATACTGGGAGTTAAATCCTTTATCTTTTTGTTGTTGTTGTTCAGATAGAGTGGGAGGGAGAGAGAGGAAGAGAGAGAGAGAAACATCGATGTGAAAGGGACACATCGAGTGGCTGCCACCCACACGACCAACCAGGGCCGGCGACAAACTGCAACCGAGGTACGCGTGCCTTAGCAGGAACCGAACCTGGGTCTCTCCGGACCGCAGGCCAACGCTCCAACCGCTGAGCCAAACCGGCCAGGGCCCTTTATCTTTTTTTTAATTGTTGACAGCATTACAGGTGTCCGCCCCCTCCACCCAGCCCCTGCACCATCCATGGCCTTCCCCACACTACTGTCTATATCCATGGGCTATGCATATATGCATATAAGTTATCTTGTTAATCTCTTCCAGTGCCCCCTCAACGCTCTCCCCTGTGAGATCTGCAATCTGTTCCAGGCATCCACGCCTCTGGACCTATTTCGTCAGTTTATTTTGTTATTAGATTCCACATACAAATGAGATAATGTGATATTTGTTTCTCTCTGACTTACTTTGCTTAGCATAATAAATCCTTTAACTTAGAAAAGGTTACCAGTATTTTCTCATATAACAAAAGAAACTTCAGAAAGGCTGATCCAGGCCTAGATGTTGCCTCAATGGAAAAAAATCCTCTTTCCAAAAGGGCCTAGTACACACTCCCTTTAGACCAAGAGTACCATGACCAAACTCTGCCAGAATATGACTCACTTGCGGGACACCAGGGTCCTGTGCTCCTAACTTATGTTGTGGGTGTCAAGTCTTCGGGTATTGAGCCCTTGGGTACAAACTCTTTTTTTTCTCTGAAGAAAAGGTTATGATTTTCTGGAGCCAGGCTCTATCTTCAAGCCAGAACTGTATGGCCATGGCCAGGAGCTCCAAAACCTTTTGTCTTAGAAAAGAGAACCTGTTGCTTTGAAAGCTATGATATACTCCAGGAGCTGGGATTCTGCCCCTGCTCTACAGAAAGGTGTTAAATGATAGAACTATTACATCTCCTGTTAGGAAAATAGACACTGAAGATCCCAGAATACGCTATATTTATATAGAAAAAGAGAAGTCGATGATAAGACATTCTACGATGACACTTTTTCCCCCCCAAAATTTTAAGTGTATGACTTTTACACCAAGAGTTCTTAAGCCCTGGCTGGTTTGGCTCAGTGGTTAGAGCGTTGGTTTGCAGTCTAGAGACCTGGGTTCGGTTCCCGCTAAGGGCACGTACCTCGGTTGCAGTTTGTCCCCAGCCCTGATTGGTTGTGCGGGTGGCAACCACTTGATGTGTCTCTTTCGTGTCAATGTTTCTCTCTCTCTCTCTCTCTCTCTCTCTCTCTCTCCCTCCCACTCTATCTGAATAAAAAATGGAAAAATGTCCTTGGGAAAGGATGAAAAAAAAAGAAAAGAAAAAAGCCTCTAGTTAAAACATGGTACCTTATTTTACTCTCAATAGTAGATAAATGAACAAATCCCATTTGAAACTGAGACCAGGAGAGAAGGGACAGGTTAAAGGAACTAAATTTTTAAAAGAAAGAGAATAGCAAGGTGAGGTAGAAGAGCAAGGAAGTGCACGGATGGGAACAGACACAAAGGGAGCTACGTGGAAGCAATGAGGAGCCCCAGACAGGACCACTGGCCCCTACCTTCATCCTCACTCGATTTGCTCAGCTGCTTCACCAGTTTGGCTGTGTTGTTCTATGAAAGACGGGGAGCAGCAGAAAAGTAAATGCCAGGACAGTAGGACTACTCAGAACTAACCCCCAAACTCACTCACAATCTCTTATAGTTAGTCCTTTAATAGTGACTGACACTGATACTGTACCTTTTACAAAACCTTTGCGGGCATAGACTTATTTAATCCTTAGAACAATCCAGTTAGGTAGGTACAATTATTCCCATTCTATAGATGGAAAAAACTGAGGCTCAGGTATATGGAGTGCCCCAACCACACGCCTTTATTAAAGGAGATAAATTTGAACCAAGTTTTCTGATTCCAAATTCCTATTTTTCCTACCATTCTACCTCACAGGCAGGCCCAAGATCACAGCTACCTCAGTTAGCACAAGTTTTTCATCTGTAGAGCTAAACCAAAGAAGATGCACTGGGGTGGTAAAGACCAAAGGTACCTGCTTGAGATGGTCCACGGTGAGTGGTAGGTGCTGCAGGGTCAACAGAATTTGCTGCAACAGAGGAATGTTGTTGGTTGTCTTTGAATATGTCAACCAATTGTTAAGAAGCTTGTAGCCACCAACGTCAATAAACCTGTAGGCAGATAGGAGGAGAATCTGATGCCCTTTCTGGATTTTGGAAGGACCACAACCCACACTCCTAGATCCCCATCCACAACCCAGAAAGCCCATGACTCATCTCCCCCGCCTTCTAACTACATCTTCTCACCCCAGCTGCCCAGAGCCCCACTTACTTGACCAATACTTCTGGTGACCGGGTCTGCAGGAGAATGTTCAAGTAGGTGCATCGACTCACCATCTTCCGTGCTTCCTTCATCAGACTGTGGGAAAGGATCAGGTTAGGAAGGGGGCAGTCAGTTCTTCCAGCAACAGAACCTCTGACCTATACCCCTGATAACTTGGGACTTGGCTACATAGTAGGAAAGTCACATGAGCCTCTAGGAGGATGGACAAGAACTGGGGAGACACCAAATCTCTGAGCCAGGAGGTGAGCATCATAGCTTCCCTAACACACAGGAAACATCCGATTCTGCTTGCAAGTGAAGAGCCCAGCCCTCAACAGTCTGCTCAGGACTGGCTTAGCCATTTGCTTCCCCTGAGAAACCCGAGGATCCGGAAGGAAAATGACAGTTTGGGGATGTGAAATGTGACCCAAAACAGAACCAAGAATTCTGTCACCTGGCTCCCCACTTCCTTCCAAAAGGTGACTCCCTTGAGACTGTGGATATCCAAATATCTAATTCCATTATAGCCAGGAACCAAGAGATCACCTTTTCCTATCACTTATTCTAAATGACTGCATTTCAATCTCATCCCACTGACCGCCCTCCTCTCCAGGAACAGCCAGTCCTGCCTGCATTAGTTATGACATACAATAGCCTCCGCTCTCGGTGAACCATAAAAGGACAGACTCACCTGAAGATCTTGGAAATCCCATCCACACTCTTGACTTCCCCATCTCGGTTAAGGAAGCTATCCAGGCCCTTGAGCAGCTCTTTGGGGTCTATGGGACCTGAACCCATGATCGAGGTTTCTAAGATGAGGACAAAACAAACCCACAGAATGAATGGGGGCAAGAACAGTGCCAGTATGCCCTCTAATAAATTACACTTCTACATTTGGCAAAATACAGTAACTAATTGTTCAACTTATGTTCAACTACACTCACCATTTTCAAGAAAAATCATTAGACCATTGTCAGCACTGAGAAAATAGTCCTGGCGGGTCAGGCATGGCTACTACACGACTGACTGGGAACAGTCCAGCTGCAGGACGGGAGCAGCACACCTTTCTGTCCCCTCCCAGGACAGCTGGACTTCATTAGATAGTATTAGAGCCGAGATTCACATTCCTGTAATAAAGTGTTCAATTCTCCAAGGTATATTTGCTTATTGTAAAGTCCTATCTCTCCTCTATTGCTGGTTTGTAAAAAAACAAACCTGTGACTTGATAGGAAGTGGGCCAATCTTGGATGTTGAGCTAAATGTCTCCTAAGAGTAGTCAATTCCTTTTTATCTTAGCCCTCGAAGAGTCCTAATCACAGGTGGCAGGATATTACTGCTTGCACCAGCTGACAATTAGCTATAGTAATAGGTGATAAAACAGAACTTTTCCCCTGGGAAGGTGTGGACAGCTCCCAGAAATGGAGACATATGGATGCAAAGGAAATCAAGCAAGTTCTCCTAAACCTTAAATAGAATGTCACTTATTAACCAAACAAGCACAAGTTTTTGTTTCAAAGTTAAGAGCAAGACTGGTTTGTGGTCTCAAAAGCAAAGATGCAAACCTGACCCCTTATTGCTACCCACCGCCCACCAAATCATATGACTATTCTAGATCCCTAAGGCCTGAAATTAGAAACCATGGAGCCAAAAAGAATGGAAAAAAGGTGGAAGCTGGATAAATGCCATTACATTTTAAGTAGTTAATTTAGACCAGGTTAGAAAAAGAGTTAGTTAAAAGTTAAATTGCTGACATGAGACAGAAGTGTGAAGCAATCTCTAGGCCAGAAACCAAGTTCATGAGTCTCTAAGAATCAATATGGTTCTGATTGGTATTTTTATCCACAACGTCTCAAAACACCTCTGAGAACCAAAAAAGAAAGCCACTTCAATGATACCTGCATTTAGGAAATCAAGAGAACACACTGGGTAGGAAGCGGGCAAAGAGGAACCCCCTCGTGTACTACTAGTGCAGTTAACAGACACGATCCCAACAGAAGTGTGGGAAAATCAAGGTTTTACAAAGATGACTGTATCTTGTGCAGAAAAGAGAAGTTTTCTTATAATGTAAATTAGTCTTTAGGCAAAAACAAACAAATAAATAAGCAAACAACCACAATAATTTCAACCTTTAAGTCTTCCCCCAAGAAAGGTCAGTAAGTTTCTAAATACATAGGTCCTAGCAACCTAGGCAAGAAAAGGCAGAAGCAGGGAGCAGAGGAGGCTGGTTCTGGAGGTCATAAACTGTGGGCTGAATACTGGGAGAGCAGTTGAGGTGAGAAATGCTGAGAGGAGAGCAAATCTGGGTTAACTGTGTGGTGCCTACCCCCCTGGAAACTCCACAAGGACAGGTAGAACCTGAAGTCAAGGCAGAGGAAAAAACATTCAAGTAGAATACCAGAGAAGATTAGGAGCACCGGACCAAATCCACTGAACTGTGGTGATTATTACCGAGACAGACACAGGGATGAAGGAATTCCCCCCATGTAATAAGATACTATATAATATATAAACACTATTAAGAGATATATAGATACAGTGAAGGGAGATATAAAACAGATTTCCCATCTATTGGAGACTGGAAAAACAATGAACAAATCCAAATAACACATATCAGCAACCAAGATAAACACAATTTGACAAAAAAGCCTTCAGTTAAACTAACATCACTTCAAACCAGCCCTCCCTAAACTCAGCCAACCCCACCAACTCAAACCCAGAGGTGAACATACATTCCCTTGGAGAACTCCCTCTTACATATCCAGCTATCCGCCAAGTCAAGAGGCTCGCTACCCCTACTTCCTTCAGAAACTCAAAAAACTATCACCTGAGCTCAAATATTCCTTAAGAGGGTGGGAATCGAGCCCTGGCCAGTTTGGCTCACCGGTTAGAGCGTCGGCCCGCAGACCAGAGTCTGGGGTTCGGTTCCCGCTAAAGGCACGTACCTCAGTTGCAGTTTGTCCCCAGCCCTGGTGGGGTCGTGTGAGTGGCAACCATGTGGCTCTCTCACTTTGATGTTTCTCTCTTTCTCTCTTCATCCCTCTCTCCCTCCCACTCTATCTGAAGATAAATGCAAAAATGTCCTTGGGTGAGGATTTAAAAAAAAAAAAAAGAGAGGGTGGGAATCGAGAGAGATCAATTAGTACAAAGCTAACCTCTGTTTCGTGCCTTCTGCTGGGAACAGGACCCAGGGACTTTTTCATTCGCATTCGTATCAAGCAAGAATAACTAGTCAAGAGAAACTAAGAGACAAAGCAGAAGAAATGTTAGATATTCATTCCCCCCATTATATTTTGGAAATACAATGAACAAGACTAAATTTTGTCTCACAAGCACCAATCTTGTGATTAAAAGGTGAGTTTTTCTCATGATGGCTTTCCTAGTGGAAAACTAGCTTTCACCCATCTAAAATTAAGAACCCCAAGTGTCTTTTGAAGTCAGTACATTTGGAAAGAAGTTCCAAGGCACTCAAGTGGGAATGAATAAAGAGCCTAAATTCCTGGCACAGGCCTAGAGCAGAAAAGGCAAATGAGCCGACCAGAGGAAGAGCAGTGACCAAGCCCCATAACATTACCCAGTCAGAACTTGGAGCCTGCAATGGAAGCCTGAGGAAGCTTTCTGGAACCAAAAATAATCCAGCACATGATACATTTTAATTTCCCTGAAGGACATACAGAAGCGGGGTGGGCTGCGAAGCAAGCCCCGGCCTGTCTCCACCTCGTCCTTCGCTGTTGCTTTCCTCCTGGATGTCGCAGGCAGAGACCTCCACCACTGACACAGGCACTGGGAAGTTTGATACTGTTCTTACTAGAGATACAATTAAAAAGTCCAGAAATGACATCAACTGCTGCCTCCAAAATGAATTATACTCGAGGGTTAATAAAATAGAGTGAAAAATATTTAGCTTGGCTAAAGTTATTCCATACCCATCACCAATGAACAGAACTGGATTAGTTTGGGATAAACTTCTATGCAAGTCAGAGTCCTTTTTAAAACAATCACAGTACTCGTCTAAGTTTACCTTAACTTAGAGGCTTCAGCATTTCTGGAAATGAAATTGCTTTGTGCCTAACCCCTTACATTCCCCTTCCTTTCTTCAGTGTTTGAGGCATTTCCTAGCATGACTCAACAGTGGACTGAAGTATGTCTCAGGTGATTCGCAAGGTTGTACCTTTCTTCTAAGTAGTAAGCCCCAATCCTCTCAGTCATTTTGTAAACCTGGTACATGAGCTCCCCAAAAGCTTATTTGTACAATCACCACACCCACCCCATCCTAACAGGTAAGGATCCCAGAACAGAACTCTGGCCATAAACTGCAAGGATCAGGTTCTCTGGAAGGATCTGGTTTCCCTAGAAGACTTTGTTTCCCATCTCTCATGTTAATGAAGATTTTATTAATCCCCTGCTCACTAGAGATCAGGAAACCCACTGGGCAGAATGTCCAGCTCCCAAGGAAGGTATGCTGCAGAGGCACATGGCAAACTGCTTAAAAGATAAAAAAACTTGTGGTCAATAGACATGTGGAAGACATGTCCCTCCCATCCAATCCAGTTTAATAATTTGAGAATTCACACCCAGTAGAAAATTAGCCCTGAAGTCTCACCCAAGTCACCAAGAAGTTGTACAAAACGGCTTTCCAATTCTGCCTAGAACCTCCATGATTCAATGCAGGAATTGAAAAAAGTAAAGTATATGGAGAGTCTGATAAAGATTTGACTTTGAAAAAGTAGAAAGGGACAGGACACCAATCCTGCCCTCAGGTAGGGCATGGCTTCCCAACATGCACCAACTGCTACAGCACTGCACGAGTTCAAAGATGAAGACATTACTTTCCCATTGTTTTTAAGGAATTTCTTTTACATGGTAAGAAAAAAATTCAAAAAAGGTGGCTCTTGGGAAAAAAGAAATGAAGGCTGTGAAATGTTTGCTTACCAGAAACCGTGGCTTGACTCCCCCTGCCTTGTTTACAACTGCTGCCTCCTTTCCTAAGATTCACTTCTCATCCCAGTACCAAAGTACAGGAGCTGAGCAACCGGAGAACGTGATACAGCACTGAGCAGTTTACCCCAAACCGAGGTGGGAATAAGGTGATTGAGAAGAAACTCCTCAAGTACCCACTCTCCCCGACTCTCATTATACAAAGCGACCAAATGCAGGACCAAGGACTGGTTCCTGAGCAGAAATGGCATATTTCAGTGTCATTAGGCCCCATTTGTCTGAAGTTACTTTCACAAGCCCTTGTGTCTTTCTCCAGTATGCCCAACACACATATATACACACACACAAGCTCACACACACTCCCCTGAAAAGGCTCCCAGTCTTTTAGCTGTTTTAACTGGTTTTCTACCCCTGGCAACTGAAATGGGGAAAACTTCCAAGCAGTTGTGATGAGTGAAAGGTGAAAATAAAAGCATCAGGCTCTCATTGTTAAAAACTAGAGCTGCCCAAAGGGATGAACTGCTTTAAGACCTAATTTCTGTAAGCTGTTTTCCTTTTAAGATAAAGGCTATAAAAGATAATATTCTAAAGAAAATAAAATGTCTTTTCCTGGCTGCGTGCACAGGGAGTCCAGAAAGCATATGCTCAGGGGCGGAGTTTCAAGAGGGTGGAGAGGAAGAAAGTGGATTACATCACCTTTCAATGATGCTCCTCCCCCTTGACCAAGTTTCTAGGGCGGCCCTAGGCTCTGGATTGCAAAAGGGGAAGAAAAACAACAAAGAGGCAGGGACGCCATTTTGTAAAGAAAATTTTAAAAAGCGATTCCAGCCCTGCCGGTAGATAGTTACGTTAGAAAAACACGGTTTTTTTTTTGGTTAAAAAAAAAGAAAAAACAGCCCTCCATCCAGAAGTCTTTGACCTATTTTTTGAGTTAAGAGCGTTGTGAAAATAAAGCAATTAAAATATAAAAAATAACAATTTTCTGCGGGGGATTGAATTTGCAATTGAGGTTCAACCTACCATCGACCACCGCCCCCCCCCCCCCAACAAAGGGAAAGGGGGAGGACTTGGACCCCTCTCAACAAATAGGCTTGAGGTAGGACAAAAATGGGAGACACAACCTGCAACACTGCTTGGAAGACAAAAGGACAAGTCGCCATATTGAAGCAGGGAAGAAAAAAAAGAATCCTTTTAACGACACAAATCTTTTAGAAAGCTAGCATTCAATTGCACTAAATGGCTTTTAAAATTATACTCCTGAATTCCACATTTCCCAACCTTTCCACCCTCTATTCCCATCAAAAAGTATCAAATTAAAATGCTAACCTTTTGCTTTTAAATAACTTATGCAATCTGCAACAATTACAAACATTTACTTTCCCAACTATTATCTTGTATGTACTGGCACTAAGATATTTTGTCCTGAATTAAGTGTCTTGCAATCTTTATTCCTAGATTGCCACCTCCTTTAACCAGACAAATATACCCCAAGCATATTACATTAAAATTGAGAGGATTTAACAATCTCAAATCATAGCCAGCTCTGTGCCCATCTCCTTACCCTGCAATCTTTATGTACAGATTGCTTATTAGTCTGGCAAATTGAAAGGCGCCCTGCTCGTCTCACACACAAAGAAGTGGGACTTCTGAGCCACAAGATCCACCATCTTTTGTATGTGAGCTCATTAACCCTTTTGAAGACTGCTGCTCAAGGGAGGAAGGTAACCATTCCTCCTTATAAAAAGCAAACTTATCGCTTTGGCAGTCTAGAAACTGGCTGGATTACGAAGGGTTAACCATCAAAATCCTCACTTGCTGGCCCTCCCTCCACGCTCTCCTTGCCTGCAGCAGGACAGGGAAGAGGTAAGTGGTAGGGGAGAGAATAAGACTGTTTAGACCCAAAGGCCCCTTTTAATGGAGATTAAGTGACCGGCTTGGTCCTTTCTCCAGCTATTTTGTTCTATGGTCTCATTTCTTCCTCTCATTATTTTTGGTTTCACAAAGGGAAACGTCGATTTCTTGTTGCAAGGCTCGTTTTTGAAAATTCGACACTTACTATCCAATTTTTTTGCGACGTCAGCACCTCGGGCTCAGGGGGGGAGGGGATTAAAATTTTGGAGAAAAAAATAAAACCACCAACCAGGACCCAAAACTCTTATTTGGGGGGCCTCATTGGATGAAAAAATCTCTTAAAAAAAAAAACAAAGGCCAACTCAGTATTCATTCCCCCCCCCACCCAACTCCATTTAGGGAGGGGGGGTCGTAGAAAAAGTTCTGAGTGGATTCAAAAAAGTAAACGCTGGATAAGTGATTCTGGGGGGGTTTGGGAAGGGAGGGTGGTTGATTATTTTTGAAGTTATGTGGTGACGGTCCTTCGGCCACAGATTTCAAGTCCCAAGCAGCGTGGGCTGGTGGGGTGGGCAAGATAGGCGGGAAGGGGCAGAAGACACAAGTGGTTGGGCTGGTGGCTGCTGTTTTCCCTTTCCCCCCGCTCAGGATCCTTTCAAGGGTTCAGATGTTGATGCGGCTTCTTATTTCCTCGTGGCCGGCCTGTCTTTCTCCGAGAAAATTCAAACCTGGGATAAAAGGAACACAAGGGAGAAAGATGTAATCAGTGCGGGCTGCTCTTAAAACACACCCCAAATTATCACTTTGTTGTCCCAAACACCTCCATGTCCAATCCGGCAATTTACGGAAGCTATGGCTCTCAAATAAACCCATGCCAAGTCCGTTTCCCAGCCCAACGCTCAGTAAAATTTTTAACCTCTAACCGACAAATTACCGGAACTTACCTCTAAACGAACCCGAGAATGGCGGCTATGCGCTCGGGCGGAGTCTTTTATACCCGGACGCCACCCAACGCGTCCAAACGTGCTAGTGCGTTTCCCTTGTCGCGAGATGTTGTGCGCGAGGTGTGAATACATTGGCTAACCCGAAAGACAAGTCGCTAGCTGATTGGCTATCCTTCCTTCGCCTTCGCTCAGCCCACGCCCCTCTCCCCGCCACCCTCGGCACCCTTTTCCGCCTCCTTCCTGAGGAGGTTGGAAGCGCGTGCGCGTGACCAGAGAACCTAGCACCACCCTTTCCTCTGCCTTCACGACTTCCGGCCTCGAAAACATTTCTCACTCTGGGTTGGCGGAACGGGGTCGGCGCATGCGTACTGTGGCAACCTCGATCAAAATCGCCTTTAAAATTGCTTAAAAGGCAAATTCGAAGTATGAGATCTAAGAGTCGTGGCGACTGGTTCATCAAAAACTCAATTTTGAGGCCGAATTCCACTGTGACGCAGTTGAAATTGGCTTCTCTCCGTGGCCCGCCCCTTTCTCGCTTCCGTCCTGACGCAAGTGCGTGGCTGCCCCGCCGCACTGCGGGCTTGTCCTTGGCTCTGCCCTAGGCAGTTTCGGAGAGCGTGCGCAGTCGCTTTCCCGGCCGCGCCGGTGCGAGCCTACGTGAAGATGGCGGCGTCCGTGTTGAGTACGCTGCTGAGGCGCCTTCCCAGTCTTCCCTCCTTCAGGGGTGCCTACGGAGTTCAGGTAACTCCTGGGAGCACATTTTGCACAACCACGGCGTAGGCGCACCTTCTCCAGGCTGTCGCTCCACTGTGGGAACCGGGAGGACACTCTTCCTGGTGCTTATGCCTCTGCTTTCCACCCAACTTCGCTCCCACCACTCTTCCCCCTTCCCCTCACCCTCCTTAAATTTCTGTGCATTTTTAAAATCCTCACCCGAAGATATGTTTATTGGTTTTTTTAGAAGAAGGGAGAGAGAATGAGAAATACCAACCGGTTGTCTCCCGCACATGCCCCTGGCCGAGGGTGGAACCCGCAGGCTGGTGTGCCCTACCAGGAATCCAACCAGCAGCCCTTTGGTTTATAGAGGATGCCCCAGCCAACCGAGCCACCACGGCTCCGTGCATGTTTTAATCCCCAGCTGAGGGCAAAGAGCCAGGGTTAGATTTCATCCTCTTTTCAAGGTGTCATCTTGGCTAAATAGGTGAGGAATGCCCGCCCCAACACACACACCTCATGCACAACCAACTCTTTATGCAGATAGTGTCTAAATCTGAGATGCCCTGGAGTGTCCCTGGTTTCAGGGGCACTAACTTTTACCAGCCCTGCTGTCTGCGGGTAAAACCAGGATACATTCTCTCGCTGGTGACCAAAGCCCTCAATCTCACTAAATCAATTTATTATCAGAGCCTACCTGAAAGTTTAACTCAGTCCTTTTGATTGAGGTTTCCCTCCAGCCTCATGTACTCACCATCCTGAAGGTTCTTGGTAGGGCAGGGCACGTTTTTGTTTTTGTTTTTTGGTGGGGCAGAGTGAGATAGGAAGTCTTACTCAACTGCCACTCCCTAAAGTGGGACTGAAGAGTGGTGACGGGGTCACTACAGAGTTAATGACAGGCCTGGTAGCTTTAAAACTAGCGTTAGGACTCAGGTTTGTTCTTCCCTATGGCATGTTGACCTTCAGCTTTTTATAAAGCTGGGCAACTCAGTGATGCTGGATTGGATTGAGTTGGAGACTCACCTTCCCTTCCCTGCCACACATCTTACTTTCAAAGAGCTAGACAATGATGACTAGTAAAAGGGCTGACTACCTAGGCCCCTTCTCTGCAACCTCTCCATCCCCAGCCGCCTTGCTCCCATCAGGCTCCAGTCAAAGAGCTAGACATCCTCTCTCTTCCTTTCTTCACCCTTTTCCCTCCACTAGACTCGGTTCATCCCCCAAAAGCATAAACATCTTATGTGTGCCAATTTTTTAAGTTCTCTCAAATAAGATTGCCTCTCAGTCACCTGTACTAGTTAACCTCTAACATTAGTTTTTTTCAGAACCCCCCACCCCAGGTGGATATAGGAAGAGTGGTTGTTGATGATGTCAATTTAACCGCAACAAATATGATACCTTTCATATATATTCTTGCTATAGTCTATTAACACAGTGGGTATGCACTTACTCCTCTTTTCCCTGAGGTGTCAGCAGCAAAACATGTGGGTTCCTTTAAATTCATTTTTTTATTTTCACCCTTCTTTTATAGGTTCCCCTCCTAACTTATTGCACTGAAGCCCCCCTTGAGGAGGATTCTTCATCCCCAGTGCTCATTTCCCCTTATGAGAATGAACCCTGGAAATATCTGGACTCAGAAGGTACCTCTGAGGAAGGGAGGGTGATGTGAGATCTGAAATAAATGGACAGAGATACTTCCTCCACCCTAACTTTTGTGGTCTTTTATTTCAGAATACCAGACCCGCTATGGTTCTCGCCCCGTCTGGGCTGACTACCGTCGGAACCACAAAGGTGGAATACCGCCACAGCAGACTCGAAAGATGTGTATTGTGAGTTTCTGAGAGTGGCACATGGGTGGGTTGTGAAGTGGGGATGGAGACCATAGTGACAGTGGCAGCAGCACTTCTGACAGGGCTTGGAACATTGTCACCTGCCAATTTCTTCTCTCCACAGCGTAAAAATAAAGTTGCTGGGAATCCCTGCCCTATCTGCCGGGATCACAAGCTGCACGTCGACTTTAGGGTAAGGAGAATCTTTTCTCCAGGATGAGGATTTGGAGCCTTTATGCATTGCTAAAGAGATTGTCATAGAGGCCCCACTCTTCAGATCCCAGTACTCCTACACTCTATTTTGCACTGGCTTCCTGGCACTGTAAATACATCTCTCTAATCTTTTGCGCTCTGCTACAGATTATAGTAAAAGACTTCATCCCTTCCTTATGAAATTGACAGGCTAAATTGGCAGGAAAGAAAAATGCCCGTTTCTAATGGGGGAGCAATGCCCAAACATTGGTTTATAATCATCACAATTATTAGTAAGTAGATTGGGCTAGTTTTTTTCTGAGATTTTTATTTCCTGGTCATAATGATGTTTGGTGGCATGCTGAGACTTGCAGCTGTAGGGCAACTACATGAAGCAAGGTATAGAGACTTCTTTTTTTTTTTTTTTCCTTTATTGATTTTAGAGAGAGAGGAAGTGAGACGGAGAGAGCAGTAGAAACATTGATGAGAGAGATCATCAATTGGCCGCCTCCTGCATGCCTCCCACTGGGCGTGTGCCCTGACCGGGAATCCAGCCAGCAACCTCTTGGTACATGGGTCGATGCTCAACCACTGCACACCCGCTGGACTAGAGACTTTTTTGAAAAACCTTCATTTCGAGGACAGCACTTGCTCTTTATAGAATTCAAAAACCCTATAAAACTGTAAATGGGAAATGCTCTTCTGAGCTTGCAGTGAAGTAGTAGATCAGAGGCTGAATTGTTAGTCATTAGGGAAGATGAAAGGCATTCGTGTATCAGTCAGTGGGTGAGGATCTGACTGTTCTCAGGCCCTTCTAACACCCTTCTAGAATAGGTAACTTCTCAACTTCAACTGTGTGCAATTGGTTAATAAAAAGGTATGATCAATGTTATCCAGTTTATAATCTCATAAAAAGGGAGGGCGAAAGAATACAAATGTAATAGTGTGGGTGATTCTGCCTGCTATTCCGACTCCACAAGTGTACCTGCTTTTTCCTTGGGTCTCACTTCCTGTGATTAACTTGCTAGCTGAGAGTCATTCTACATAAGTAGCTTCAATTTTTTTTTTTTCTTTTTATCCTCACTCGACATTTTTTGATATTTTGTTCAGATAGAGTGGGAGGGAGAGAGAGAGAGAGTAACATCGACATGAAAGGGACACATCAAGTAGTTGCCACCCGCACAACCCAATCAGGGCCAGGGACAAACCACAACCAAGGTACGCGCCCTTAGTGGGAACCGAACCCAGGTCTCTCTGGACCGCAGGCCGACGCTCTAACCGCTGAGCAAAACTGGCCAGGGCAGTAACTTTAAAATTGATCTGAGTAAATACATACACTATGTACAGCATGCTATTATATGCCTTAATCACCATACATGCCTATTACAGCATATATTTTCTGGGTGATGTCAAGGATTGCCGGCTGACTCGAGAATTTTTTGCCTGAGTGCTGATTTTAGAACTTAACCCCGGGAGAACAGAATTCTGTGTGAATCTCAGTGACAACGTGTAGGATGTGCATGTGAAATGGTTGGAGGACCAGGAAGGGGGAAATGTTTGATGGAGTTTTCACGAATGTGTTCAGTACAGTGATGAGGCTGAAACTAGGACATGAAAGAGGGCAGCATCTGGAGAGGTGGGGGTTAAGGTAATCTGTGTGAGTGTGTAGGGATTGTGCACTTCAAGTCTCTAAAGATTTTCCTGCTCTCCCCCCACTCCTTTCTCCACCACTTTCCCCACAGAACGTGAAGCTCTTGGAACAGTTTGTCTGCGCCCACACGGGTATCATCTTTCACGCTCCATACACAGGTTAGGCTGTCATCCCTGACTCCACCAGAAGAGCTTTTCCTGGGAGCACTTCTCATTTACTCAGTCAAGCAACAGACATTTATTTGGTGGCTCTTACCATGGCATAAAAAGTGTGATTGAGTCCTGGTCAGTTTGGCTCAGCATTTAGACCGTCAGCCTGCAGACCAAAGAGTTTCAGGTTTGCCCTGGCCGGTTTGCTCAGTGGTTAGAGCGTCGGCCTGTGGTCCAGAGAGACCCAGGTTCAGTTCCCACTAAGGGCGCGTACCTCGGTTGCAGTTTGTCCCTGGCCCTGGTTGGGTTGTGCAGGTGGCAACCACTCGATGTGTCCCTTTCACGTCGATGTTTCTCCCTCTCTCTCTCCCTCCCACTCTATCTGAACAAAAAATGGAAAAATGTCCTTGAGTGAGGATTAAAAAAAAAAAGAGTTTCAGGTTTGATTCTAGTCAAGGGCACATACCTCAGTTCTTTTTGGTCCCAGGCCCTGGTTGGGGTCATGTGGGAGGCAGCCAATCAATGTGTGTCTCTCATATCGATGTTTCTCATTCTCCCTCTCTCTCCCTCCCGCTCTATTTCAAGATAAATGGGAAAATATCCCCAGGTGAAGATTTTTAAAAAAAGTGTGATTGAAGTTTTTGGAAATCTTAGCTTAATGGGGATACTTACATGCTAAAATAGTTACAGGTGGACAAAAGATACAGACAAGTGCCATTGTAAGCAAACCTAAATGTAGTTCTTGAAAGATGAATGGTGGTGATTATTTCCTTTAAGGTTCTTTGCTTTCTTCAAAATATGTTTTTATTTATTTTCTTTTTTATCCTCACCCGAGGACATTTTCCATTTTTTGTTCAGGAAGAGTGGGAGGGAGAGAGAGAGAGAAACATCGATGTGAAAGGGACACATCGAGTGGCTGCCACCCGCATGACCAACCAGGGCCGGGGACAAACTGCAACCGAGGTACACGCCCCTAGTGGGAACCGAACCCGGGTCTCTTTGGACCGCAGGCCGATGCTCTAACTGCTGAGCAAAACTGGCCAGGACTAAAATATATTTTTAATTGATTTGTGGAGAGGGAGAAAGGGAGCTCTTTGGTGTTGCTCAGTGGATAGAGCGTCAGCCTCTGTAGCAAAGGGTTTCAGGTTCCATTCCAGATCAAGGGTGCATACCTGGGTTGCGGATTCGATTCCTGGCCGGATTGGGGCATGTGTGGGAGGCAGCCAATCGATGTGTCTCTCTTACATCAGTGTTTCTTTCTGTCTCTTCTCCCATATCTCTCTGTCTTTCTCCCCCCTCCCCTTCCTTTCATTCTATAATAAATGGGAAAAAATGTTTTCAGGTGAGGATTAACAAAAAAATTTAATAAATAGAGAGGAAGGGAGGGGGATAGAGAGACAAACATCAACGTGAGATTGGCTGCCTCCTGCACGTCCCCTACTGGGAATGGAGCCTGTAACCTGGGCACATGCCCTGATGGGGAATCGAACCAGCAACCTTTTGGTGCTTGGGATGATGCTACCCAACCAGCTGAGCTACACAGGCCAGAGCAGGGCTCTTCCCTTTCACAAAAGGCTTTCTCATAAATTGATCATCCGGTAAATTCTTTTATGCTGTTGACAATTCAGTTAGATTTCCCAAATTTAGAATTGTAAGCTTAACAATTCAAGGTTATATCTATTTTCTAACTATAGTCACAGGCTAAATCTGGCTCACTCCTGTGTCCATTTGTTTTCATAGTGGCTACGATGGCAAAGTTGAGTAGCTGAGACAAAGACACCAGGATCCACAACGCTTAATATATATGGCCCTATATAGAAACATTTTGCCAGTGTCTGCTAAAGAAAGATAAATTTACAAAGAGTAATCTGAATTTACCATTTTGGGGGTGGCAGCATGATTAGTGGAATTTCATTTGTCAAGGGGTTTTAAAAAGTAGTTTTAAACTTCTGTCAAGCTGTAAAAATCTCAAGAGACCATTTTGCTACTCAGATTGCCTGCCCCAGATATGAAATCCTTTCTTCCTTTATTGAATTTTTCTCTGGATTATCCTACTCAGTTAAGCGCACTTGCCCTTTGAATTGTGTTCTATTTCCTGTTTTGGAGCCTTTACCATTAAATAGCTTCTCTTTCTCTTTCTTTTTATCCTCACCTGAGGACATTTTTGCATTCATCTTCAGATAGAGCGAGAGGGAGAGAGGGAGGAAGAGAGAGAAACATTGATATGAGAGAGAAAGACATCAACTGGCTGCCACCCACACAACTCCAACCAGGACCGGGGACAAACTGCAACCGAGGTACGGGCCCTTAGCGGAAACAGAACCCGGGTCTCTCTGGACCGTGGGCCAACGCTCTTAACCGCTAAGCCATACCGGCCAGGACTCTTTCTCTCTTTTTAAATTTTTTTTTTTTCCTTTATTGATTTTAGAGAGAGAGGAAGTGAGAGGGACAGAGAGGTAGGAGTATAAATGTGAGAGAGTGACATCAGCTGCCTCCTGCACACCCCATCCTGGGGATCGAGCTCGCAACCTGGGCATGTGTCCTGACTGGGAATTGAACCAGTGACTTCTTGGTGCATGGGATGATGTTCAATCCACTGAGACACACCAGCCGGGCTAAATTACCTCTATAGTGGCTAGACCGTTCTCTAAGTTTTTATCCCAGCTCTCAGAGATGGGGCACATGGGGAAATAGGCCCATGGAGGGGTCAGGAGAAGGGGGAGCCAGATCTTCCAAATTCAGCCCTCTCTCACCATGTAGAAGTGGTGTGTATTCTTTACTTACTGTGCCTGATAGAATGAGCACAGTTACCTTTTTTTTGTTGTTCCCGTAGGAGTCTGTATGAAGCAGCACAAGAAGTTGACCCAGGCCATCCAGAAAGCCAGGGATCACGGTGAGTGTTCTGAGAAGGGGCCCAGAGAAGTTTGTTAGACATCAAGAAGATGACTTAGGGCTAGAGGATGAATATAAGTGCTCCCACCTATCTGAGAAGTTAGTATGTATCATGTTCTTCTGTGAATCTGTCATCACTCTACTGTCTCTTATTCCCTCTCCTGAGTCTGTTACCTTGTCATTGTCCCCTTGTTCCTCCTCTTTCCTTTTTCTTCCCTCTTAAAACTATTTGTCCCAATGCCATAGCTAGATCATAGGAGGATCTTTGTATAAATTTGTGGCCTTGGGTTCCATAATACCTTCCTACAAATTAGAAAAAGGTACCCCTCCATTAGGGCAGATGCAGCTTCATAGCCCTGGTGTAGGGCTGCACAGCTTGTAGTATGTCAGCCCACACTTGCCCCCTTGGCCGGCGGCCTTTGTGCAATACACAGCATGCATAAATGTGCTCAGTGGCTGCACCTGTTCCCTTCCTCCCTTCATAGGTTATTTTCCTTCCTGTCTCACTTATTCTGAACTACTCCACCTTGCTCCCTTCCCTCACTCTCTTTTTTTTAATCCCCTAGGTCTCCTTAGTTACCACATTCCCCAGGTTGAACCTCGGGACCTTGACTTCAGTAACTCTCATGGAGCTGTGAGTGCTACTCCACCAGCTCCCACTCTGGTTTCAGGTGACCCCTGGTACCCATGGTACAGCTGGAAACCGCCACCAGAGAGAGAGCTCTCCCGCCTTCGGAGGCTGTACCAAGGCCATCTCCGAGAAGAGAGTGGGCCCCCGCCTGAGTCAGTGCGGGAGGCGCCGCTCACAGCCGGAGCCTCCATAGAGCAGGCAGGCTCCCAGAGCCCTCTGTAGAAGCTGGAGACTGGGAAGGGTGCCGAGGAACTGGAGGATAATACCTATGAATTACATAGTGGGATTCACCCTGAAGAGTGTGTGTTATGTGGCCAATGGCAGGGCCAGTGTCAGTGAAAGGACATGACTTGTTGAAAGGGATAAACATCTGAGTCTGAGGGAGGGCAGGACAGATGATTGTGGGAAATCCTACCCCGTGCGTGTAAGTGGATGTACTCGATCTTGTGTAGCCGTTGCAGACCTCTGCCAGCTCAGCATTTCCGCAATAAAGCTGTGTACCCTGTCTCTGGAGTCAGTCTGGGGGGATGGGTGCTGCTGAGGGGAGAGGAGTGGGCAGGCCGGAGCCAGCCCAACCAGTGACTCGGGACGGAAGCCACCGGGAGTGGGCAGTGGTGCCATTCTGCCTTGATCGGCTGGCTCTGTGAGGCCGTGGTTGGGGTCGCCCCGCCAGCCTCTCCCTGGGGCTAACGGGTTGGAGAGGACCCCAGGCGGAAGGAAGAGGCACCGCCAAGCACCCGCAGCCGGAGGGGCCTGGTGCTAAGGGGTTGCAGGCTGCAGCCAGGAGGAGTGACGGGCGGGGTATGTGCTGGGCACACGCACAAGAAGACAGACGCCAAGGGGCGGGGCATTGAGGGCAGGGCGGAAGTGACGTTGCGTGGGCGGGGCCGGCCATGCACAATGGGCCATGGAGTTCCCCTTCGATGTGGACGCGCTGCTCCCGGAGCGGATCACAGTGCTGGACCAGCACCTGCGGCCCCCGTCCCGCCGACCCAGCGCCGCGATGCCAGCCCGGTGACCTCTCAAACCTGCCCCGAGGCCCTTCTCTCCGGGTTTCTCTAGAAACCTGGTCCAGGCACCACGCCCCCTTCTCACTGAGGAGTGACCCTCCTTTTGGTGTCCTGTCTCTACCTGTTGGTGACCTTTCACCCTACACTTAGTGGGATTGCTCAGTGCTTGGATCTATGACATTCCACCCCTTGGCCAAATATGTGGTCCCAGCCAAAGGATGGTGGTTGACCCACCCTTCCTGCTTCCCCACAATCCTCAAGGGAGGAGGGAGTGTGGCACTGAAGGAAGTGTGGGGAAAGTTTGGGTTCCAGAGGATGGGGTAGAAAGATCAGATTGGAAGACAACCAGGTAAAGCCAGAGTCTGAAGTGCTGAGCCTGGGTTGGAGCTGTGGTCCAGGTTCCTGGGAGTGAGTGACTGCTCAGAACAGTGAGGGTCTGACTGTCCTCTCTTTCTGTAGCGTTGATGTACAGCAGCAAATTATGACCATTGTAGATGAACTGGGCAAGGCTTCTGCCAAGGTACTGGGGACACCTCTCTGGGGACAGTAGAGAAGGGGGCCTGGACCCTTTGGAAGGGACTTGCAGAGTCTGTCTTCGTCCCCCTGGCAGGCCCAGCATCTCCCTGCACCCATCACCAGTGCATCACGGATGCAGAGTAACCGCCATGTCATGTATGTGCTCAAAGACACCTCTGCTCGACCGTGAGTGCCAAATGCTTTTCCATCCTGTATCCCTCCTCTGCAGCCCCTTTCCCTTTTTACTCCTCTCTCAAATAGCTTCTACTAGCTTGTTCATTATTCTCCCCATCTTATAGGGCTGGAAAAGGAGCTATTATTGGTTTCCTCAAAGTTGGATACAAGAAACTGTTTGTACTGGTGAGTACTATTAGAAGTGGAGTGTTTGTACTCCTTGATTCCTGAAAATAAAAGTGCTGAAGTTTGGGAGGTGGCAACAGTGTTTTGGTCCTAAAAGATATTTGTTGTTCTTTGCCTATTAGGATGATCGTGAGGCTCACAATGAGGTGGAACCACTTTGTATCCTGGACTTTTACATCCATGAATCACTTCAACGCCATGGCCATGGGCGAGAACTCTTCCAGTATATGTTGCAGGTATCACTTCTCTCTCAGCAGTCTGTCCAAAGGGAAATTAAAGGCCCTTTGCCATGAGCCCTACCAGAGCCTCTGCCTCCCTCTCCCCAATGCCCCATGTCTTCCTGTTCCCTCCCAGGCCTCAGAGTTCTGTTGGCATGTCTTCCCCACACCTTCTTCTACCCTGAGTCTCCTGTTCTTTACAGAAGGAGCGAGTTGAACCACACCAACTGGCCATTGACCGACCCTCACAGAAGCTGCTGAAGTTCCTAAATAAACACTACAACCTGGAGACCACAGTCCCACAGGTTAGAGGTTTCAGAGGGTAGATCCCCACTGAGCATTCACATTGAATTTATTTATTATTGGGGGCAAGGAATTGGCACCTTCCAAGCACTCATTCCCCATTATATAGGATTCATTTTATACAACTAAATGTTGTTTTTGAGATGTAAATATATCTCATTTTGCAGCTATTTTACTCTCATCTGTTTTGATTCTTCACATGGCTGTTTTGTATACCTAAACACAGCCAGCTCATTTTCACCTCCTTGTTTTTACACAGGCCATTACTTATTCGATCAACTTGTTATTTATTTTTATTTTTATTTTTTTGTTAATTTTCACTCGATATTTTTCCATTGATTTTTAGGTAGAGTGGAAAGGAGAGAAGGAGAGAGAGAAACATTAAATGAGAGAGACACATTGATTATTTACCTCCCACATGACCCCAACCAGGGTTAGGGATGAACTTGTATCCCAGGCATGTGCCCTTGACCAAGACTTGAAGCCAAGACACTTTGGTCTGAGGGCCGACATTCTAACTGCTGAGCCAAACTGGTCAGGGCTCAATCAACATTTATTAAGGGCCCAGAAAAATATATACATTCCTGATATTTGAAAAATATCAGAAAGTTTTTATCTAAAATGAGGAAAGTGGTTGGTTTACAAGTAAATGCAATGTAATGTTATTAATGCTATCCATTCATTCAATATTTATTGAGAACCTGGTACTAGGAATACTTTACCAAACAAAACAGATAACAGTTTTCGCACTTGTGAAGCTTATATTTTAGTTGAGGAGACATTATTATTATTATTATTATTATTCATAATAAGCAAGTATATCCTATGGTTGATTATAAATGCTCTGGCCCTGGCCGCTTTGGCTCAGTGTTTAGAATGTTGGCCCTTATACTGAAGGTTCAGTTCAATCCCCAGCCCCGGTTGGGGTCATGCGGGAGGCAACCAACTGATGTTTCTCTCTCATTAAAGTGTCTCTCTCTCTCTCTCTCTCTCTCTCTCTCTCTCTCTCTTCCTCTCTATCTCTCCATCCCTCCCTTCCATTCTATCTAAAAATCAATGGGAAAAATATCCTCAGGTAAGGATTAACAGCAAAAAAATAAGTGCTCTGCCCTGGCCGGCTTGGTTCAGTGGTTAGAGCATCAGCCTGTGGACTGGAGAGTCCCAGGTTTGGTTCCCACTAGGGGCATGTACCTCAGTTGCAGTTTGTCCCTGGCCCCGGTCATGTGGGTGGCAACCACTCAATGTGTCTCTCTCGCATTGATGTTTCTCTCTTTCCTACCCCCTCTCTCCCTCCTGCTGTATCTGAAGATCAGTGCAAAAATGTCCTCAGGTGAGGATAAAAAAAAAAAAGTGCTCTGGAAAAATGAGCACCAGTAGGAGAGCTTGGGAGTGAGTGCCATGATGGGGATGAGAGTGTGTGGGATTGCAAGTGTAAATGACATAGGCAGGGCCTCGCCGGTGTGGCTGAGGGGTTGATCTTCGACCCCTGCACCAAGAGGTCGCTGGTTTCATTCCCAGTCAGGGCACATGCCCAGGTTGTGGCCCAATCCCCAGTGCGGGGCATGCAGGAGGCAGCCAGTCGACGTTCTCTCATCGATGTTTCTGTCTCTCCTCCCTCTCCTTCCTCTCTGTTTAAAGTCAATAAAGACCAAAAAAATTATAATGGCATAGGCAGAGAAGGCCTCACTGAGGAAGTGTCTTTCAAAGAGGTTAAAGGAGGTGAGAACAACCCAAGTGGTATCTGGAGTGAGGCCATCCCAGGCTGAGGGAACAGCTAGTGCAAAGACCCTGAGGTAGAAGTGTGCCTGGAACAGTGACCTGGCTGGTGTGAGTAGAGCACTGTGAATGGCATGGATGGGGGAGTGATTGATGAGATCAGAGCTGTAATGACAGGAAGGACATTTTGGACTATTTCTTTTTTTTTTTTAAATCCTCCCCCTAGGATATTTTTCTATCTATCCTCAGATAGAGAGGGAGGCGGGTGGGGAGAGAGAGAGAGAGAGAAACATTGATGTGAGAGAGACACATCGACTGGTTGCCTCCTGCACGACCCCAACCAGGGCCAGGGACGAACCACACCCGAGGCACATGCCCTTGACCAGAATCAAACCCACGGCTTCTTGATCTGCGGGCCATTGCGGCAACCGCTGAGCCAAACTGGCCAGGGCTATTTTGGACTATTTCAAAGACTTTGGCTTTTACTTTATATGAAAAAAAGGGAGGCATTGTAGGGGTTTGAGCAGAAGGATGATATGATCTGACTTTTAACCAGGTCACTTTGGCTGTTAAAAATAAGTAGAAGGGCCCTGGCCAATGTGGCTCAGTTGGTTGGAGAGCTGTCCTGTACACCAAAAGGTCTCGGGTTGCAGATTCAATACCTGGTCGGGGCGCCTATGGGAGGCAATCAATTGATGTTTCTCTCTCTCTCTCCCTCTCTCTCTCTCTCTCTCTCTCCCTTAAAAAAATAAAATGAATCGAATAAAAATAACCAGGAGGGGAGAAGCAAGCAGACCAGTTAGTAAGCAGCAGTCTCTGGTGAAAACTGATGGTGGCTCAGACCAAGATGGTAGCAGTAGAGATGGTAAAGAGCGGTCAAATTTTAAATATTGTGAAGTTACAGCAAGTAAGATTTCCTGATAGATTCTCAGTGGAGAGAGAGGGAGGGAGTTAAGGATGATTCCCAAGTTGGCCTGAGAAGTTGGAAAGATGGAGTTACATTAACTGAGATGGAAAGTGGAGCAGATTTGGGGGAAATAGAACTCTATTTTGAATATGATAGAGATATCCATAAGTGCAAGCTGAGCAGACAGTTGAGTATTTCTGCGGAGTTCATAGAAGGTTTGGGATGGAGAGTTTTCAGCATACATAGGGTATTAAAAGTGGTGAGACATGCCCTGGCCAGTTTAGCTCAGCAGTTAAGAGTGTCAGCCTGCAGACCAAATGGTCACAGGTTCAATTTCTGGTCAAGGGCTCATACCTGGGTTACAGTTGCAGGTTTGATCCCCAATGTGTGGGAGGAAACAAATTGATGTGTCTCTCTCACATCAGTGTTTCTTTCCCTCCCTCCCTCCTTTCCATTGTATCTAAAAATCAGTGGACAAGCCTGGCCCGTGTGGCTCAGTGGTTGAGCGTCGACCCATGCACCAAGAGGTCGCTGGTTTGATTCCTGGTCAGGGCACATGCCCAGGTTGTGGGCCTGATCCCCAGTGGGGGGCGTGCAGAAGATGGCCAATTGATGTTCTCTCTCATCGATGTTTGTATTTCTCTCTCCCTCTCCTTTCCTCTCTTTAAAATCAATAAAGAAAAAAATTTTTCTTTTAAATCAGAGGACAAATATCCTCAGATGGGGATTAATGAAAAGAAAAGAAAGCAGTGAAACAGGATGACATCACCAGAGAGTGAGGGAGGAGGGGTCCAAAGACTTGAGCCCTTGGGCACTCTTTTTTTTAATTCTCACTCAAGGAGAGGGAGATATATATATATTTATATACATATAAATTGAGTATGTCTTTATTGATTTTTTTAGAGAGAGAGGAACGTCAATATTAGAGAGGAACATCAATCAACTGCCTCCTGCACTCCCCCTACTGGGGATCGAGCCTGAAACCAGGGCATGTTCCCTGACTGGGAATCGAATCAAGACCTTCAGTCCATGGGACAATGCTCAATCCACTGAGCCACACTGGCCAGGCTTTATTTTTTGTTAATCCTTACCCAAGGATATTTTTCCATTGATTTTTAGATAGAGTGGAAGGGAGGAAGGGAGAGAGAGAGAGAAACACTGATGTGAGAAGACACATAAATTGGTTGCCTCCTGCATGACCCTGACCAGGGATGGGGATCGAACCTGCAACCCTACGTATGAGCCCTTGACCGGGAGTCAAACCCACCACCCTTTGGTCCACAGGCCGACGCTCTAACCGTTGAGCTTAGAAATAAAGTTGGCAGAAAATCATAAAAGTGATAAAAAACAGCTTAATTGTTTTATATTAGGAAATGCAGGGAAGCACTTCACAGTATACACTAGAGAAATAAGTTACATTTCATATTTTTATTTATTTTAAATTTATCCTTATTGTTGAAAGTGTTACAGATGTCCCCTCTTATTTCCCTATTGACCCCCTACAGCCCGCTCCTGTCCCCCCTAGGCCTTCACCACACTGTTGTCTGTGTCCATTAGTTACATACGTACGCATATAATTTATTTGGTTTATCTCTTCCCATCCCCTACCCCCTTCCGAGATTCATTAGTCTGTTCCCTTCCATGTCTGTGAATCTATTTTAGTCATCATTTGATTTTGTTCATTAGATTCCACATATAAGTGAGATCATGTGATACTTTTCCTTCTCTGACTGGCTTATTTTCTTTAGCGTAATACTCTCCAGTTCCCTTCATGCTGTCTCAAAGGGTAAGAGAGTCTTTTTTTTTTATAGCTGCATAGTATTCCATTGTGTAAATGTACCACAGCTTTTTTTTTTTTTTAATATATTTTCTTTATTGATTTGAGAGAGAGAGAGAGAGACAGAGAGAGAGAAACATCTATGAGAGAGAACATTGACTGGCCGCCTCCTACATGCCCTCCACTGGGGATCGAGCTCAAAACATGGGCATGTGACCTGACCAGGAATCGAACGACAACCTCTTGGTCCATGGGTTGACGCTCAACCACTGAGCTGCACCAGCCGAGCTTATTTTTTTTCTTTATTGATCTTAAAGAGAAAGGGAGAGTGAGAGAGAGAAACATCAATGAGAAAGAACATCAACTGGCCACCTTCTACATGCCCCCCACTGTGGATCAGGCCCACAACTTGGGCATGTGCCCTGACTGGGAATTGAACTGGCAACCTCTTGATGCATGGGTTGACCCTCAACCACTGAGCCACATTGGCTGGACTTACCACAGCTTTGTTATCCACTCATGTACTGATGGGCACTTGGGCTGTTTCCAGATCTTAGCTATTGTAAATAGTGCTGCTATGAACATAGGGGTGAATATATTCG